TGTACGATAAAATATTTTTTACTCGAATAGTCCGACTGTATTCATAGCTGAATGTTTAGAAGCAACGAAAAAATCAAGGATTTACGAAAAATGTAAGCATATTTCCAGGATTTTTAAAGAACAAACAAAATTCCAGAACATTTCAAGAACGGCCAGACACCCTGCTTTAAAAATAATTGTGACGATGACGAATAAAATCAGAGTATCCAGCAGATTCAATGAAAAAAATTCCTTAACTTTTTCAGATTTTCCAGGACCAGAAATTAATTTTTTCCCTAATTTTTTAGTATTATTTTTCCCAAATATATATTTTGATTATATCTATATGATAAATCAAATCAATATTAAATCATGAAATAAAATAACACGACGATGAAAATATAAATTAACGTACACGCCCGAGATGAATCGATTTTTAACAACACAGCAAATTAGTGTGCTGGGAGTAAAGAAAAAGTTTATATTTATTTAGAGTATTTTATTATTTAAAATATTTAAATTTATATTTATTTAGTCAGGGAAAAAATTAATTTCTGATCTTGGAAAATCTGAAATTAAAAATTTCAAATTATTGAGACAAACGTAGAATAATGTGAAAAAATCCCGATAAATAGTAAAATTTTCTGATTCTTCTCTGACAATTTCAGATCGATCAAATTTCTTGAAAATATTCAATTTTCCAAATTTCCCTGACTGCTAGACACCCTGAAATTGACGATCAGCGATGAGAAGAGAAAATAATAAGATGTCGCGCTAGATAATGATGTATATAGGCGTGTCTACATAATGACATAATCTATCTACTGATAATTATTATCAGTATACGTATTGCAGGAAGTTTTCCTCGTATAGGAAGCGACAGGGACGAGTGTTTCATTCTCGATGAATAAATATCTCTCGGAGAAGGTTCAGCTACCGATTGACACCAACCTTATTTTTAGATCCCTAACCCTAACATGTTTCTGTTACACGATCCAATAAGCACAATGTGAAATGAAGGAGGATTAGCGGCGACCCTCGTCTTCTTTTTCATACCATAGAGAAGAGACGTGGCGAGTATTTAAGAGAGAACGACGACGAAAAAAAAATCGATGATCGGAATCGGTAGAAACGATCGGATGAAACCTTCCGGTCGCCAAAAGGCCAAGCTCTCATTTTGTCCGTCACATTGGTCAATATTTAAATAAGTTTGCGACGATATTTATTATCCGGAAACCCTCGTTCAAATATTTAGCTGCCAAAGAATCTTATCGGAATCGTTTTATCAAACGCGCCCACATGGATCCGTCTTTCACCCCTTTAGAAAAATAAGAGATCTTCAAAGTATTGCATATTTCCAGTAATTGCTCTTTGTTTGTCATAGATTTGACAATGATATATAATGAAGAAAATTATTAAAAAATTTTAAAAATGTTTTTTTTTTTTAATTTAGAATTTATGGACAGGTTACTCATTATTTAGTGCGCCGATGTCTTGTAATTTGATTGGATTTAACATAAGATAATATAATTATATAATGAAGGTACGTATTGTTAGACTCAAATGCGCGAATTGTGTAAAAGTAAATTATGAAAAAAATATCTCCAATAATTTCCAAAATTTTACATGATAAAAGTCAAGTTGGAAAACTAAATTTTATATCTCTGTGTAAATAATATATATAATATGTAACGCATAATTTTTTAAAAATTAAACTATGCACCAGAAAAGTGGAACATTAATAAAAAATAAACGAAATAAAGTGATTAAAAAGCTCACAATTGTTTTTAAACAGATTTAAAAACAAATGTAATAAAACCTTATAATACCTTTATATCACACAGATATATTATTACTTGAAATATATGTATGTATCTAAATGGAAATGTCTCTATTAAAAAATTTGTTTTCGGAAGAGATGGTTTTATCGGATCACGTAAAGTACTATATACCGTTCTAAAAATAGCGCCGAAAAACGTAGCTTATAAAAATAAGTGACTTAAAGGTTCCGAGGTGACGATCCTACAGGTGGTTGCGAATAAATCCGTCCAAGATTACAAGTAAGTTATACGAGCAATCTGGAGCAATTTCGCTGCGGGATCCGATGGTGATCCTCTTTGAAAGTCCACGTAGAACTAGAGGGTCGACCGACCGTTCGCAGATAGGTAGTTGTTCAACCTTCCCTATACCTAAGATAGATCAAAGAGCCGCGCAAAAGGTACAAACCACCAGTACAAGGTGTCCCGATAATAACCCGCCGATATTCAGGCTTTCATTAGATGAGAAGTTCGTAACATAACACGGGCCCTGTGTGTGCTCGTATGCAACAGCGTCTACGAAACTCTGCAAACTCAATGAGCAGTCCCTTTGATAGAACCGGGGCTCTTTGTCACGAAATTTTCCCGCTCGTCCGAGGATGCGTGAGAAATTTACTGTCGCATTGTTTTCGCAAGTCGCTATAAGTTCGCCTTTGACTGTCAACCATGTAATCGCACTTTTGCCACGCAGTTAATGTATTAATTGCGCACGGTTAATGCATATTTAATGTGGCGAATTGTTACGTCTCTTACTGCGATATTCTGCTCTATCCGGGAACAAATTTTTTATATATAATTAATTCTTTATTTATTTTTATTTATTTATTATATATAAATAATTGTATAATTATACATATAATCGTAAAATTATGTCTATTTTTATACATAATTATATAAATTTATGTATAAATTATAAGGGTTCATATATAATCATGTCAAATTACATATACATATATATATATATATATATGAAAAAATACTTATTTATTATATATATAAAGTTTATATAATTATATATAAAAAGCACTTTTATCTAATTATGTACATATTTCATATACAATTTTGCGATTATATATGTATAATTTTATAGTGTTATACATATATATAAAAAATTGTTTCCCAGGAATCCTGAAACAAAAACCACTCACAAATTCGTGCGAAATAAAATTATATAATTAATTTGCAGATTTAATTGCGCAATTAAGAGTATTAAATAAATTTAAAATATATAATATATTTTTGTGTATTAAATATAAATATAATTTTGATAATGAGCTAAAAGGAATATCTGGATAGGTAAGCTTTTGCAATGCACGATCTAGCTAATTTTGGACAATACTTCGCTATCTGTCAGTTAAGATTCTGTCAAACAGGAGAACATGCGGAGATCAGTTTTGTGTGGGTGGGCTTAATTATTTAAAGGATTACATAGGTCTCGGGAGATTCGCGGCAAATAGGATCGTTGCGAAGGAGAATTCTACAAAGCTCTGTTGAATATTGCATAACAGAAAGACGAGCCAAGCTGCCCTCATACATGTATATGTATGTGTCTATGTTCGGCAGAAGCAAAAGAGATGCGAGAGAGAAAGAGAGAAACACACTTCAACTGATATGTTTGCTCTAATGGAGGCCGAATTTCGTAGGAGGATTTAAAAAGTTAACCTGACAAGCGAGATGCCTTTCATGACGTATAATCAGCTGATTACCTTGCAGAATGCTTTTATGAGATTCGTAAAGGAGATTAACATATTACTGAAATCAACCATGAAATTAACAAAAGGCAAAGGCGCATATAATATTGATCACAAATAAGTAATTTAAAAAAAATAGACTAATACGCATATAAAGGATAAAAAAACTATAGAAAGAACAAAACTTGTATTTTTTTATACTGTTATTTTTTTCGTATATTAAAAAAACAATGCGTATGATTTTTTAAATTGTCGAGCTGTTTTCATAGATTTAGTTTTTTAAAAAAATATGTATTTATTTATTTACTTAATATATTTTTCACTATGAGTGATCGATATTCTTTCCCAATATTTTATTAACATAAATAATAAAATAATACATATACGTAAATTGTAATAAAAATACATATCAGAAATTAATAATTTTATATTAGTTACGTTTAATTTTAAATTGTAATTTATATCTTGATAATTAATTATCAAAGAAAGAAAAAGAAAAGTGATATTCATTATATCAAGAGTTTTTGTATTGCCATTTGTAAGGTTTGATAAAACAGACCTTAAAAGCAACCCTATAAATTGTTGCCTTTGCTTAATTGGCATGAAAGGTATTTAGTTTCCCATAATTGTGCGCAATATCTCGACAATAGTGCATTTATCATCGTATTCAATGGTGATTTCGACAAGATATATCCATTGAAATTGGCAAGGATTCTATCATATTATGGCAAATTGTGGCTCCAATTACGGGTTGATACGCGATTGAATCAAGCAGAGAAATATGGCTTTTCTAGTCAAAAATATCTCTGAACCTCCTTATAATTTTCACGAGGCATTCTCATTCAAATTGTCTATCAAACTAAAAGAAATGTCTATTAAAACATTTCCGCTAATAATTTTTTTCAATAAATATTTGCAATAAATTAAATCCTAATGCAGTGCTTTTAATATTTCAACATCCGATTTCAATACTTAAGGACTAATTTAATATATAGTCTTTAAAACATACTTTAATAGTTTTAAAAATAATTTATATCAATACGTCTCTCTTCATTACCCGGAAAAAATGTTTATGTAACAATATAAAATTATATAGAAATATATAAAATTATACATAGAATCGCAAAATTATATATAAAATATGTCCATACATAATTAGATAAAAGTTTTTATATATAATTATATAAATTTATATATATATATATATATATATATATATATATATACTAAATATTTCTTCATATATATAAATATATGTTTCATATATATTTTGACATAATTATAAATGAACCCTTATAATTTGTATAAATTTATATAATTATGTATAAAGGTAGACATATTTCACATATAATTTTACAAAATTATATGTAAAATTATACAATTATTTATATATAATATAAAAAAATTTTAAGTGTGCCTACAAATCCTAATAAATTAATTAAAATAACTTGGAGGATATCCGGAGACGCTAAGAATTCAACTGATCTAATCGTAAAATTATTTTTGTCTCCAGCTCTTGAGTTCAATCGTGGTGGTCGGTGGAACAAACGTGGCCGGCGCACTAACACATCACCCCCGGGAATTGGCGCAAAGACAGGCCTTCCTCGAAACCCGACAATGCGTTGAAGCACGTCTGACCACGCAGCGGGAGAATCAGCAACAGGTACGTTGCTGCATTTACGGAAAACTATGCATCTCAACTTACGTGTTGCTCGACGTAATATAATAAAATTAATTGAAAAATAAAATTTTTTAATATTATATTTTAATATAATTTTTTTATTAATAGGAGAACAAATTATAATATTTATAATTTTGAAACAAATAACTGTCTCTCTAATTATTCATAAAGCGGTAATGTTTCAGAAAAAAGAACTTTGAGAATTCCATTTAAAAAATTAAAAAATCTCATTTATATTAAAAAAATACATTTAAAAATATAAACTTTTAATTTAAAATGTAATAAATGTAATTAGTAATAAAGTTATGAGAAATGAGCAAAAAAATTAAAAGCAAAGGAAATAATTTATATTAAAGACATCTCAAGACAAAAAGGGTCAATAAGTGTCATGTAATTATGGATTCGTGTTTCGATGAACTACATTCTTATAATAGTTCCCATAAATTAAGAAAATGCAGCTGATTTAAATATCATAACTCTCTATTTCAACTGTTAAGAAAACTGTGAAACGTCTGGAAACGTCTCAATAATTATAACCGGGAGATCTATTTAAATGTTAGCTCCTTTATCGACAAATCGATAAAGCCCTGTCACGGAAATAGCGATTATTATCTTATTCCTGTGGGACGTCATCCTATTGGAATCTCGAATAATTGACGTCTTTATCGATTATTAATAACGCAATGTTCACGTAATCTGCAACGTGAGCATGTGAATATATGAAGATCCTTGTGTTCTATATTTAGAAACCGCAAACCGCTCGAGCACATCAATGAATAAGCATTCTCTCAGACATCCTTACATACAAGAACAATTAACATAGAACGTTATTTAAACTTGAACAATAATAAGAGAAAAATTATTAATGAAACTTGCGTAACGAGAATAATCCAAATATATTTTTAATTATTTTGACAAGTCTAGAAAAACATATTGCATGTATTTCTAGAACAGAAGAAATATCAATTGAATAATATTAAGAAATTTAATAAAATATTAATAAATTTTTTTGTAGTAATGTAAGATATGTTGACGTTTATAATTTCCATGATGGAAAATATTAAATGACAGTAGCTTTAAAAAAATGTATTGAACGCACAAAAATTACAGCAGTGATGTTTCGTAGATCCTCGAATAAAAATTTGTAACTTGCGTATATTTCGTTGTCGAATGCGCGATTAAAAAAAACTTTCTTAAACAAAGAATGTAAAAAGCAACAACGAGCGATTTAATTTTGACTTTTGTTTAAATAGCAGATATGTTAATCGACGGCTGAATATTAAGCACATGATTTACATTCGACAAAAGTATAAATTAAACAAAAAACAGTATTATCTGTAAAAGAACATGACTCTAAAATTACGTTTAAAAATTTCCCTGTTAATACCTAACGTTATATATTTTAAATGTTCAAGCGAAAAATGATAATTTGCAGCCTAAAATTGATAATGCAAAAACTTTTTGTTGAAAAATATATTCGCCTAACTTTATAACTTATACATGAAGATAAAAATGCATAATGTTGTGTATATCAATCAATTTTTTTATACAAATCACAAAATTTTAATTATACTAGAGTGCATTATGCAAGAAAATAAATGGAAATATAATACGACAAATATTCAAAATTAATATAACAGGAAATAAATATTAGAAAGATTGATATACATACATGTCAAATAAATTGTTAAAGCTGGAATTCTGTTATATTTAATTATTTACAAAAACATTATTGCTTCGAGGTATGTTTTATTGTTTTTTCCCAAAAATGAGAAATTTATTTAAACAATGAAAAAAAAGGGAGGAAAAAATGCGCATATATACAGGGTGTTTCAGAACTGGCAAAAAAATGGCAGATTCCTGTTATTATTTGGATACGATTTTTTCTTACAATTAATGAAAATGTTGAGGGAGGCCATCATTTTTAGCATTGTTCCCAATTTTTATATTATGTATCTTCATAACAAAGTTTTATATTTAAATTCTATTAAAGCAACTTTACCTAAAATCAACTGAAGAATATAATTCTATTAACATTTTATTTCCACAAGACAGTTTTCAAAAGAGCCTTTATTTTCAACTGCTTATAATTCGAAAATTATCGATATCTCGACGTTTTCGCTGTGAAAAAATCGTCTCAGAATGATACCAGGAATCTGCCATTAAAATCTTTTCCGTCAGTTTTGGAACACCCTGTATAAGTGTGCGCACGCTTTAACACAATAAACTAAATTTACGGTTGAACCCGAACAAATAGTTAATGAATATTTGGTGGCGGTTTTATTGAAATCTTGCGCAAACAATTCGTCCATTATATTTTTCGACTGCCGGACAACACGTTCACGCTAAATAAATTTACCGCGGCTTTGTTGGCCGACCGCTTCACGTTCCGAGCGGATTCACGTGCTTTTCAATACGCATATATGCATGCATACGCAGGTAATATGTATTATTTTAATACGCGTGATGTGTGTGCCAACTTCCATCTATTAGCAACAGTGAAGTAACAGTGGGCGATATACTGTCAAATAATAATTAATTATTTTACACCGCGAATATATCGCATCCCGTTCAACGCACTCCAACGAAGTAAAGTTTTCGCGAAAATTATTAACAATTAATAAATAATATACGCGCGCTCGGCAGAGGATCCAGCAAAGTCCTATTCAAATTGCAGCTTGATTCGGTTATGTTTTACCGTTGTTTATTTAAACCATCTAGTTTTGCGACGTAAAACGTTGCTTCCCGTCAATTTGCACGTTGATTATATATACGCGAGAGAAATAATTCGCGGAAAATATACTCGCGCGAATTTTATTCATTTCCATTTCTCGAGCATTTCGCTCTACATCTGACGCATTGCGTAAGATATTTATTTTATTTAAAAATAATGTAAGGTTTTGAATTACGTTTCGCAAAGTTTAAAAAAATTCTCATTTAATATCATAGAATCATATATTATTTCTACAATCCCAGTATTCGAGAATAATAATACTGGATTATTTATTTAGAATCGTCGCGGTTCGATGAAATGTATAATTTGATTGCAAACTTAACAAAAAATTTATGGGCGTTAAAATAAAAGCCGAAATATAATGTATTATTTATATTTATATTATGTATTACTTATAAAATTTTATAAAAATAATCCTAATTTTATATATTACAAAAGCAATTATACTTAAAAGCAGATATTCTGATAACTAAAAAAACTTATATATGATATAGAAAATTTGTAAACAGAAATAATCTTTGATCTATTTAGCAAAATACAATAATTTTGTCTGATAAGATTTTTTAACACAATATTTCTTTTGTAAAATCCACTTATATATTTTTTCTTTTTTTCTTGTTTAGTCTTGTTCTTCTATTTAATAAATTTTGCAGGAAAATATGATGTTACTTTTCAATTCACGTAGTTATTCTATGTATTTTTCGTAATAGGACATAATCAAGATTTATTTTTGTTTAATTTTTTTTAATCAAAAATTCAATTGTCAACAATTACTTTCTTGAAAATAATGGCAAAAATTATATGCAATCTAAATAATTTCACTTAAACGGCAGGAAAAGGTAAAAGAATGCAATGATGTTGTGCATCCTTGCACGTAAATCATAAAAAATAATATCATGAAAAGCTTGAAGGTATACGTTTAGTGTTTTATAGTACCTTATAATAAATTTTATAAGATTCTTATTTTTCGGAGCTTATAGATAAAAATAAAGATGAAGAGAAATTTTGAAGATAAAATTTTTTAAGATGAAAAGAAGGGAATTTTCTAAATCTTGCAAGATTTTATTAAAAAGAAGAAAAATGTGCTAACAACCCAAAGAATTTATTAGAATAATATAGACCATAAAGAAACATTTTTGAGTTTGTACAATGTGAGTAAAAAATAGGAAAATATTTCAAATTCTGTATTAGATAATGATATAGACTTTAACATTTATCATTTTCAATTTATGCATTTATGCCTTACACTATTAAAAATCAAAAATGCTTTTTCTTCAGGAATACTAGGCTTGTTTAGAAAAATAATTTGAATATTTTTTTACAAAACAATCCGAAAATGTTTTATGTAAAAAAGACCTAAAATAAAATTTTGGCAAACGGTGTACTCAACTCTCACTATATATCCATTGTTTAAAATTTCACCATCATGTGATAGAAAGATATAAATGGAATTTCTCTCCCTCTCTCTCTGATGACGAGTTATTTCAAGCGAAGAACGGAAATAACCGAAACCGAAATAATTGACGGAAAGCGGCGAGGTTCTATTAAAGATAGCGTCTTGTGCTCATAATCACGATCGGCCAACGACGAGCTGGCTTTATGCTATTAATCAGAAATCTGTGACCTGTCGCGATATCCATCGACTATTATTCGCGTCTGCTCGCCCATCATTCAGTATATGCGATAACGTTAAATGTGCATGTGATCGTTTAAGGACGAACAATGTGCATCGAGACACACCCGTTTCTTATCATAACGATGATTCTAATTCTAGAAAAGAATGAATCACGTCAAAGTAGCGCCGAAAATCATTCGCGTTTTTGGAGAATTAAAAATAAGCTTTCAACAGAAAGGTGTTAAAAAATAAAATTTATATTTAAATTTTACTAGAAATTTTTAATAAATAATGCTAAATAAGATTTTTTCTATTTTTATGTTTAATATTCAACTAAATTATAAAATAAAAATTATGAATTTCTATTAATATGAAATTTAGTAAATACATTTAATATTTTATTTAAAAAATAATAGATTTTTTAGTTCTCAAAATATCTGCTTTTAAAATAGGACTTATATATTTTTATAATTATTTTATTTCCTGACAGTTCCAAATTTATAAAATTTTCTGACAATGCCCGTTTTTCCAGATTTCCGTTAGACACCTTGATTATAAAATATTAATAAAAATTAAAAATTTCTATTAATATGAAATTTAGTGAATACATTTAATATTTCATAAAAAAAAATAATAGACTTTCTTAACATTTTGTTCGTTCGATTATAAATTACTTTCATTTAACAAATCTTTAAAATTATAATTAAATAATTTATCTTCTATATCATTCGAGTCCATTTTTTTAGTTATCAGAATATTTCCTTTTAGAATAGGACTTATATATATTTTTATAATATTTAAATAAATTGTTAAATTCCGAATCCGGTTAATGATTCCGTCAACATCGAGTTAGCGGCATCGAAATCGATCGGGGTTTCGATAAAAGCTCTCGGAGCGAGAGCTTTATGCAGAATCGTAGTAGTGCAGTGCTCTGCATTACGCGAACATAACATCGCGATTCTACAATAAAAGCGCACGACTCTATGTCCGACGTATCGACCATCAATGTGCAACTCTCGAACGCGCTTGTCGTCGACTTCGGCCGCACTTGAGAAGTTCCCACGATGTTGACGAGCTCTCCACGTGTTCGAACAAAGCCGCCGTGGAATATTGCAGCGTGCAACCAGGTCGTGTTACATAGTTCGATGCGAAACAGCGAAGATTACCGGGCTATCGCGAAGCTCGTTCTTACGTTCCTCGGCTCGCGATTTCCATTTCGATTTCCATCGTGGGAAATCACGAGATATTCGAAAAGCGGGAATGTTTACTCGCAGTTTACAATTTCGCGCGAATAAATAATTAAATAATTCCGTAGCTATATGCGAGATGTTTAACGTTCCATCTAAATTCTGAACAGTTGAATTTCAAATGGACGCTAAAGAATTTTATTATTTAGTTCGCTTTCTTTTTTTTTCTGCTTTCGCTTGTAATCTTCTAAAAAGGTCTCGAAATTGTAGAATACAAATCGCCTAAGTGTTTGGAAAATATTCAATATAAGAATGATTCTGACACGTCGCATATTCTCAAGACGAGATATATATATATATATATATATATATATATATATATATATATATATATAGTGTGTATGCATGTCTTGGATGGTTATCCGAGTAATGCACTTTAGCTCTTATGACTGTATTAACACCCGCATGTCCCTCATACATTGGCCTATCCATTATAATCCTTGCTATACAGATTGCTTGAGAGAATCCTTCCCAAGGACTAACTTAATGATGCTAGCAAACCATTATCACGTAAGTGAAGCGATTGTTTGATAGCATAATCTTATGTTAGCAAATCTGATGAAAAGTAGAATTGGTTTTGCATGTACGAATTATGACGGAATTGTCAGAGAAGTTACGTTACGTAATTAACAAAATTATATGTATACAGGAAATTTAATTTAATCTTCAAAATTATAATATCTCATATTAAAATCTATAAATGTGTGAGTTTGCAAAGCATATAATTAATTAAATTAATTAAAACAATAATAATAAAATTTTTATATATAGATTTTTTATACTTAATTATATTTCATCGCTTTGATTCATTTTATTAAATTTTTAAATTGTGTAAAATTAAATATTCTCTATATGACATTAATTTATATTCCAGGAAAGGCTTCTGCTCAGCGTATTACCCAGACATGTAGCCATGGAAATGAAAGCTGATATAGCAGGAAAACCAAAGGATACGATGTTTCACAAAATTTATATTCAGAGACACGACAACGTGAGGTACGTCACATCAAATGGACCCATTTAAAATTTGTGTTTAAAAAAAACTTATTTAAAAATGCTACTTTGACATTTCGCAAATGAAACTCGTTTCCACTTTGTCACTATAATTTAAAGGAATTTTTGATTACAATTTCTATATATACACGGTAAAAAACATTTCGTATTTCTGTTGAAATTATCTTGTGTAGAAATTTTTGTGTTAAAATTTTAACATACTCTTATGTTAATATAACATATTGTCGTTATGTTATTTTGACATTTGTCTGTTGAGTTAATATTCACTATTTTTAAGTGTTAAAACAACACAATTAAATGAAAATGTACCAATTTTTGCTTATATTATATTTTTTGTGTTATTTTTTCACATATTACGTGTGTTATTTAATTACATAATTGTTTTCTGTTAAATTAACATTAAAATTAGAGTGGATAAATTGGGACATGTGAAATGTGTTAAATTTAACACAATTTTTTTTACTGTGTAGATATTATAAGTAACGTCAAATTTATTATTTATTATTTGGCAAATTCAAAATAACACACGTAATCACTCGATCACGAAATTTCTTCGAAATGGAAATTCACCGCGACGTTATATGTATCCGATTTAAGTATGTACGCATTTGACATAGAGAGAATTCTAGATCGACTTACTGTGGATTGAGATGTAACATCCAAACTCTCATATATCTGACATTTCGCCGAGCTCGGATCAATTTAACTTAACCGGCGAATTTGCAAAGAGCAAACGTACCATGTTCATTTAACTTTAATGAGTTTCCCCTCCACGTAAGCTCGCGACAATTTTTCATTACCAGTTCCCATTCTTTCCTCTTCAAATTGCTTAAGTCAATATTTCTCTGTTGTACAATTTTTCCTTTATAATATTCCGTTTAAAAAAACCTGTTATACGGTTAATATTAATTATAAATTACAATGTAAAAAAAATATTCTTTCAAAAGTGGTTTGCTCAGAAACTGTTATAATTGAGGCGAATATTTAATCGTACAAAGATCGACTGACTTTGCGTATTTATTTAGTTTCAAATATATTTCAGCATTCTATTCGCCGATATTTGTGGATTTACTTCGCTCTCCGATCAATGCACTGCCGAAGAGCTCGTCAGATTGCTCAACGAACTTTTTGCACGGTAAGAGAAACACTAATAATATTTATAATAATGACTATAATAACAATAAGAGAAAAATCGATATTAGCTCGAAACTTGTTTAAAATCCTATACGTATCACGATAGATAATCAATCGAATTGCTATTGTTGTCAGGTGACTATAATATCGCAACAAAAAATTAAGTATTGATTCATTTGCTGACAATGGCCAATTTAATAACCGAACATCCGATATTTATATAATTAACTGATGAATCAATTTTATCAGAAGACAAAAAGTCTGTTTACAACACCTGCCTCTTAATTAGCCCGTTTTTCATTTATTTTAAATATAATTTTAATGTTGCCTTTTTGAAATCATATATATTTTTACATGTTTTTTCTATCTACGAATTTTTCGAAATTTATGTATATGGTACTCGCGTGTAGAATCAATATTGCCACAATAAATAAAATAAAATTTTTAATGAATACATTTTGAAAACCCACGCTATTGTATTACATACATAAATCAAGATATTTTTTTTTCATACACTTTTCATAGACTCGGTGACATTTAAAAAAATTATTGCAGCGAGATAAATCATGTTAAATCAACAACGTTATTCCTAGCTTATTTGATTCAATATCAATTTCTTTTTCTCTCTTTCTTTTTTTGCAGCATTGATCTCTCGGGTCTCGTAAAAATTCTTGTTCCTTCGATTTACAGAATCCTCTTTTCATATAGCCGCAGATATGAAACACCCCTTTGTAATACGTACAAGTTACATTGTTGTAATCTTCCAATTGAATTAACGTAACGTCGCCGTAAAAATCCTTTGATCCGGCTATTTCGATTTATAAACATGAAATAAATTTGATGTCAAACTATTAACATACATATATGTAAAGTTTATAACAACTTTAGATTCGTGTTAATAATAAATAATATTCTATATAAATATACTTTCGAGATTAATTTTTAAATGTATTTAAATAAACTGATTACAAGAGTCAAACGTGAATGTTGGTGTGTCAATTACAGCAAAAAGTAAATTAATTAAAAATTGATTTTTGCTCTCATTGACGCATCAAACGCCTCTTATAAGCCAGTTTATTTCAAATATATTTTTAATTGTATATTTATTAAATGTTGTCCCCTTATCTTAATGAATACTTATTTGTCTTATATTTGTTGTATCGAGAGTTTTTTGGCACCCTTAATACTTTCCAAGTTTCCCTCGATCAAATCATATTCCTCAGGTCCGACGAGCTCTCAGAAAGGCTTCGACAGCTTTAGATTTCACGTCCCTAATAACTTTTCGGGTCAATAGGGTCCTACTACCAAGAGGGATTTGCTAAAAGGCAGCTTTTTCATGTATCAGTACAGCCGAGATCACTTTCTGGGATTTTGCGAATGCAACGTCTTCATTCTCACAAGAAAGAAGCAAATTAACTCTTGAAAAGAACGCTTGGAGAATATAAAAAGAATGTAAATAGCGAATTTCGATCAAGAATGTCAGATAAAATTTCTCTCATCCTGGTATTATTAAAAAAAATTCGAATATATATATATCGGATGTTAAATAGAAAACAAAATTATAACGAGAATCGGTTATTTATAAATATTTTTTACGCAAAGAACACATGTACCAAAAGGATATCTTTCGTGCATTTTGTATACATACAATGTGAACAAATGCGTGTAATCTATTAATCAGGATGTCCAACAGACTAAATAAAAAAAAATTCCCTGACTTTTTCAGATTTTCCAAGACCAGAAATTAATTTTTTTCCTGAACTTTTAGTATTATTTTTTCTAAATATATCATTTGCATATATCTGTATAATAAATCAATTAAATGTTAAATCATGAAATCCTTGAGATATTTTTGTCAACAATGAAAAAGTTCAGAAGTGAAAAAAATAAAAATTTATATTTTATTTTAAACATTTTATTTTTAAATTAACAATATTAAAATAACTAAAGATATTTATTAGAAATATAAATTGAAGAAAGATATATTTTAAATCCAGAATATATTTTATCGATCATTCCACGCATGACATCTTTTTACGTATCAAGACACTAAAAAATTGTTTTTTTTTTAAATTTTATATATATAATTATATAATAATATAATTATATAATTTATTATATAATTATATAATAAATATTTATCAGTTTTGAAAAGAATTTTCTTATATGAAATAAATATTTTTTACATCAAATCAATATTATTAGTTTCAAATAAATAATTTATTAGGCGGTATTGAAATAAATATTTATCTGAATCCAATAATGTTTTTTTCAGTGTATATATCCCTAATAATTTAGTTTTCTAAAGTCTAGCTCGACTAGTTTTGCCTGTTTGTCCACTGATTAGAGCACGATTAAGATAGTATTTTTTTTCAACGCTGTTTTCGTACTTTGTGATATTGCGGATGAGAGAAAAAATCGGTAAAAATGTGAAAAAATCCAGATGAATAGTATATACAATTTCCTGACTTTTCCCTGAGATTTCCAAATAATTTATAAATTTCCCTGACCGCTGGACACCCTGTTAATGTCGGCGTAAAATGCTCTATTATCGATTTGACTCTCACAGATTTATGCGATAATACGTTAATAATTGAATTATTTAATTGCCATATATTCACGTCGCGACTGCACACACACAGCTCCACCGACACTGTTATTTCGTGTATATACATATATATCATATTAAACTAGCTTAACATTATATATATATATATATATATATATATATATATATACCCTATGTGTTACGCGGATTTGCTGCGCGTGAAATATTAATATCACCCTTCCGGCGTCCTGAATTAATTTCGTATAATATGCGCCGCACGGAGTGCGACGTTACTGAATATCTAATCTGAATAAACCGATTATCTCCCGGTTGTTGGGGTCCCTCTCCTGTTGTCGACGTGCTCTCTATCTCCATCTTCATCGTTTCGAATTAATTTAATCGTATCTATCCCACATAATTCGACTCAATCACGTTTCCGTATTGACGAGTCAATCGAGTCAGTGCCAATCAAAGTCAATGTCAGGCAAGAGAAAGATGGCAATAATGATATTTTAAATACAGGAAACTTTGGAAACTTAATTATAAGTTACAAAGGAAATTTTTTTTTAACAAAATATTTTAGATGAAAGTTTGGATATTGCGATTTTATTTTCAGGTTATTTTGAGGATTCTTCTCTCTCTCTCTGCTGTTTTAAATTTTATATTTTACGCAATTTATTATCCTACTCAATCACGTTTGTGTATTGAGTCAATAAAAAAAATATATAATGACGAAATGCAAAATATGGTCAGAAACTTAATTATAAAATTATAAGAGAAAATCATAACAAAATATTTCGATGAAAATTGCACGGTATTTCCTTCACGCTTTCGTATGAAATTACGTTAAAAAAATATTACAGAATTTTTACCATGAAACGTAGAGGTACACGTGGGGAAAAATAGTAGATATTTTTGTAAAAACAGCGCGTTGTTATAAACGCGGCTTCCGTCAGTTTAACCGCAAAAACCACAACTGTTACGTATATATTTTCGCGAAAAAGGTCTCTCTCGGCTTCTTCAGCTCGACTTTAACAGCTGAATTTTTCGCTCGAAAGAGAGGGAGAGAAAAAGTCAAGTATTTCTCTCCGATATATTATTATATGTACGTTTAAATAAATCAGGATGTTTAAATTCCTTGGGAAATATTCCGCAGGTTCGACAGGCTAGCAGCTGAGCACCACTGCCTCAGGATAAAGCTTCTCGGAGACTGTTATTATTGCGTTTCCGGACTTCCGGAACCACGACCTGATCACGCTCACTGTTGCGTAGAAATGGGATTGGACATGATCGATGCAATAACGTAAGTCCGAATGTTTTCTCTATCTCATCTAACAATAAGCTTCGTTAAATCCTCATTGTAAGAAGGCTTCGGAAAATAATATATATTTTTTTAAAATAATCACCTTTCTCTCTCATTTATATTATATCTAATTTTTTAGTTTTATCTCTATAACACATTGAAATAAAATAACACGACGATAAAAATATAAATTAACGAACACGATGTAGATGAATCGATTTTTTCAGATTTTCCAAGACCAGAAATTAATTTTTTCCCTGCCTCTATTTATTTTTTCCAAATATATGATTTGTATATATCTATATGATAAATCAATTAAATGTTAAATCATGAAATTTTTGTCATCAGTGAAAAAGTTTGGAAATTAAAAAAAAAAATATATATATATAAAATTTATATATTGTCCTTTTAGAAATTTATATATATATATATATATATATAATTTTTTAGAAATTAATTTTTTCCCTGCTTCTTTATTTATTTTTTCCAAATATATGATTTGCATATATCTATATGATAAATCAATTAAATGTTAAATCATGAAATTTTTGTCATCAATGAAAAAGTTTGGAAATTAAAAAAAAAAATATATATATATATATATAAAATTTATATATTGTCCTTTTAGAAATTTATATATATATATATATTTTCTAAAAGAATTTATAAAAAATGTAGCGTAGCTTTATCGCGATCCCAGCTACGAATCTGTACATTTGAAATCACAAAATAACAAAATAAATATCATATATCACAGAGGTTTCGAGTATTCCATGTATACGCGATTGATATATCGGACAAAAGGAAAACGGCGGAATATAGAAATGGTCGAAGATAGAATATCGAAAGCTGTTCGGGAAACGAACTTGACGGATCAAAGTAACATGCCGGCAATAAGCAACGCTTTTCGTTTGTATCGGCGAGACGACCGCGGAAAATCAACCCCGATAGAGAGCTGACGGTGGTGGTATCCTACATCATGTCCCGTATTCGTTTCGCTCGTGTTTTCATAAAACGCGTTTCACCGTCAAAGAGAAGATTTCCTTGGAGGGCAGCGCAGCATGAACATTGCAGCGATTGAGGCCGATATATATACTGGCTTAAAAATCGAGTAAACACGGCTTTACCATGAAGGATCCTTCCGCAAGGACCTCTTTCCACACGGGTCACCGAATTGCACGGGTTAAATCGCTGTGCGAGGATTTCGATTTTAATTTCTTCGTCGCTTTTAACCCTTCTTCGTTTCAAGTTCTTATTATTCTCGAAAAAAATTTCCCTTCCTGTCAAATCGATAGCAAAATCAACGTACGAATATAAAAACGCCCGAGAAGTCACGTACGAGAAGCGAGAAGATCGATGCTGAAGAACAATTATTGTAATTGAGAATGTGGGTCGCCAAGAAAATCAATGTTTGTCAATATATATAAAATTCTTCTGCCGTTTCATATCGATAATGAAAATACTTTGATACTTATCCTACAGTTCGAACACTGAAACAACGTTCTCTCCCAGCTGTAACGATAAGTTTGCTATTTTATTTCATTTCTACGCAGCTGACTCGCAGGGTGTCCAGCAGACTTGATGAAAAAAATTCCCTGACTTTTTCAGATATTTTTCAAGACCAGAAATTAATTTTTTTTTTTCCTGACTTTTTAGTATTATTTTTTCCAAATATATAATTTGCTTGTATCTATAAATATGATAAATCAATTAAATGTTAAATCATGAAATCCTTGAGATATTTTTGTGAACAATGAAAAGGTTCGAAAGTTAAAACAAAAATTTTAATGAATTATACAATCTGCATTATGTACGATAATCGAAATAAACATGTCACTATATATAAACTATTTAAATAATTACCTTTTTTATTTATATCAAATTTTATTTTTAACATATTTAATGATATCTAATATCACAACAAAACTTTTAAATAAAACATTTTTAATAAAATTAATGTATTAATTTTTAATAAAAAAAATAAATTAAAATGAAATATTTAAATAACTTAAGTCGCCAGTGATAATTAAAATAACTCTTAGTTTATTCAATTCGACCAAACTGGCATGTTACAAAAATGACAAAATCTCACGACGTTTCGGCCATCAATTACTGACCCTTATCAAGTGAATCTACAAAAATTATATAATAATTTACTAGCAATGTTGATAATACAAAACAGTGACATATAATAATCCTGGATAAACAAAACGTCGTGAGATTTTGTCATTTTTGTAACATGCCAGTTTGGTCGAATTGAATAAACTAAAAGTTATTTAAATTAAAATAAAGTTCTTGAACAATATTATAATTCTTAAGCAATGTTATAATATATTTTGAAATATATATAATACATTGAAATAAAATAACACAGAAAATTAGCGTGCTGGAAGTCAAGGAAATGAAATCAAGGAAAATTTCCAATTATTGAGACAGATGTAGAATGTGAAAAAATCCAGATAAATAGTAAAATTTCCTAACTTTTCCCTGACAATTCCAGATTTATAAAATTCTCCAACAATGCCCGGTTTTCCAGATTTCTCTGACCGCTAGACGCCCCAAAAGTTTGCTTTTTTTTTTATTTTATTTCCACGCAGCTGACTCGATTATTCGTCCAACGACGAAGAAGAAGATTAAAGAAGAAGTGTAATAAGTTTACGCGTCTCATTGCAGATTGGTTCGCGAAGTGATGGCCGTAAACGTGAATATGAGAGTCGGCATCCACACGGGCCGGGTTCACTGTGGGGTTCTCGGTCTAAGAAAATGGCAGTTCGATGTCTGGAGCAACGACGTGACTCTAGCCAATTACATGGAAAGCGGAGGGATACCCGGGTGAGTACAAGCAATTTTGTTCGAGGTATGTCAGCCCTCAACTGCGATCGAGACGACGATAAATTACGTCAGTGTGTACCTCATTCTCCTTATATCAAATATAATATACTCCGCCTTCGTACTCTCTCTTAAGTAAAATTTTGTTTAAATTAAAAAAAAAAGATCTTTAATAAAAATAAAAAATACAAATAATTCCTGTCGAGAGAGACCTCATTCTCCTTATATCAAATATAATATACTCCGCCTTCGTACTCTCTCTTAAGTATAATTTTCTTTAAATTAAAAAAAAAAAAAAAAAAAGATCTTTAATAAAATAAAAAATACAAATAATTCCTGTCGAGAGAGACCTCATTCTCCTTATATCAAATATAATATACTCCGCCTTCGTACTCTCTCTTAAGTAAAATTTTCTTTAAATTAAAAAAAAAAAAAAAAAAAAAAGATCTTTAATAAAAATAAAAAATACAAATGATTTCTGTCGAGAGAGGCAATCTCTCAAACGTCGGTATATCAACGGTGCTAATATATTAGATGGAAGATATGGTGTTTCGCAGACGCGTGCACATCACGAAAGAGACTTTAGACTGCTTGGGTGGATATTACGAGGTCGAGGAGGGCCGTGGAGGCGAGAGGAACGCGTATTTAAAGGACCACAATATCAGAACCTACTTAATTGTCCCTGGAGACACGTTCAAGGACAACATAACTAGCTCCGGGATGCGAAAGAGCTTCCCGGCGAATGGTAATGTGTCCAAAGAGATGAGGGTTATGGGTCACGGCTCGCAACACGGGAAACAAACCAGGTAAGTGCTCCTCAATTATTGCTTGCTTAATCTCTTAACCCTTGACGTCATAAACGACGATGTACAGGATCCATTACCCAAATAAGTTGCGAAAAGACGGCGAGGCATTGCTTCGTTTTATATTAATTAAAAGATAATCCCATGTAACCGCGTCTTTGTTTAATGTAAAATTAATTATTCCTATATTCTTCGTCCTCGAAAAAATATAATGAATAAAAAATATCAATGTATGTATAATGAATTGATAAAAATAACGTAAATCACATCTGTAATAAAATCATCTTAAATTCATGCATGCTTAATCTCTTAACCCTTGACGTGGTAACGTCATAAACGACGATGTACAGAATCCATTACCCAAATAAGTTGCGAGAAATATCCTGAAAGGTTATATTAATTAAAAGATAATCCCATGTAACCGCGTCTTCTTTTAATGTAAAATAAATTATTCCTATATTCTTCGTCCTCGAAAAAATATAATGAATAAAAAATATCAATATATGTATAATGAATTGATAAAAATAATATAAATCATCTTAAATTCGTGCATTTTAGTAGATTAGGCTTCGGCGAAATCATCGAGGGCGAAAAGGACCCCGAAGATGAGGTGAATGAATATCTGATGCGAGCAATCGATGCTAGAAGTATAGATCGATTAAGAGCGGAACATTGTACGCCCTTTATACTGAAATTTCGAAGACCGGATGTCGAGGAAAAGGTAATGAATTAAAGTGAAAAAATAACCGCTAAATTATGACGACGTCAAATTGTGTCCAATTATAAAAAAAATATTTTTAACTGCATTTATTCATAAAATCGATTTCAACGTCAAAACTGTGAGATTAATTAACGAAATGATATTTATTAGAATTAGGTATTATCGAATTTTTGCGCAGTTGGAAATTTTATAAAATACTTATATATAATTTTTATAAAATATTTAAAACGCTCAGAGTCAGGTTCCATTTATATTATTTCGAGAGTTCGTAATTAATTTAAGTAACACGTAGAAAATAACACGAGTCATAATTACGCGTTCATACTGATACAATTAAATTTAACCAATCGACGCGGTAATCCGTCGTTTAATACAAAGTCCGTGCAAATTTAATTTAATTAAATTTAATTTAATTTAATTTTAGTTAATTCGCTAAACGGCTCCGTTTGGATTATCCGCGTGACTTAATCGCGCCTCGTAATCAATTTGCAACGACATTCTCTCTCCGGTCGAGAGAAAAAAATTTCACAACTGAATCGTGTACAATGGGAAAGCAAACAAATATGGTTAAAACAAACACGCTGCATTTAGCAAAAACACTCGGCTGTTAAAGTACAAATAGAAACAATGGGCGATATCGACTTGTTTTAATGACCTGTTGCAGTACTCGCGCGAGAGGGACAGAATGCTCTCAGCTTATTTTGTGTGCTCCGGTTTCGTCTACATGGTCGTTGTGGTAGCAATCGCCATCACCCTCGCCAGGTAAATACACGTGGTCAATAAATCCTACTTTGTACAACCGCACGCGGTATCTGCAACTTTACTACGCTCATGATCCACAATGTCTATGCAGTCTGCTAGTTTGTTCTTCAATTAATATTAATAGAAACTATTCAATAATACAAAAATATTTTATATTAATATGTTAAGAGAATATTAGTTATTAATATATTTGTTTATATGCATTTATTTATATTATTTTATATTTATAACGAATATAGTGTTTAATATTTATTTTTGTATTTCTAGATTTTATATTATGAATATATTATTTTGTAATTTTTTGGCATAACAGATATAAATTTCAAACTTAATTTTAATAAGCTCGAGAAAATCACGCTAAAATTTCTTATCTTCGTAGGAGCGTATACTTTTACGTCTGCACCGCGATTAGCATACTGGTGATAGCCTTGGTCAATGCAATTTTATTCACGGAAAAAAACGAGGTAAGTTCATTAAAAGACACATAAAACTTTCACACGTATATCTTACGAATATTGCAAAAATTTCATTTTAAGAAGGAATTAATTCTCCTCTCGACACACAATGATGTCAAAAAATATACATCTATTAATATAACGAGCGTGATATTTAAATCGCTTGATACATCACGTATCCACCTCGGGTCGATGATGAAGACCCTCTGGAAGAGTGCCACTTCCTCTTGACCTTGATCAAGCGACATGCTTCCAGGCCACTGTCAAAATCATCGATCCAAGTAATAACCTTCCCTTTAGTTCTTTCCTTCCTTCTCGCGATTACTCGATGATACCCGGAGATCATCTCCCTATCTATCAGATTTAATTAATTTTTCTGTGAATGCAATTTCAGGGTGTCCAGCAGACTCGATGAAAAAAATTCCCTGACTTTTTCAGATTTTCCAAGCCCAGAAATTGATTTTTCCTTTAACTTTTTAGTATTATTTTTTCCAAATATATCATTTGCATATATCCATATGATAAATCAATTAAATGTTCAATCATGCAATCCTTGAGATATTTTTGTCAATAGTGAAAAGATTTAGAAGTTAAAAATTTTAATCAATTATATCATCTGCATTATGTACGATAAGTGAAACAAACGTGTCACTATAAACTATTTAAATAATCACCTTTTTTATTTATATTATATCAAATTTCTTAATTTTGTCTCTATCAAACACATTGAAATAAAATAATACGACGATGAAAATATAAATTAACGAATACGCTATAGGTCAATCGATTTTTAACACAGAAAATTAGCATGCTGGGGAGTCAAGGAAAAGTTTATATTTATTTAATAAACAATTTCAAATTATTGAGAGAAATGTAGAATAATGTGAAAAAATCCAGATAAATAGTAAAATTTCCTGACTGTTCTCTAACAATTCCAGATTTATAAAATTCCCCGACAATGCCCGGTTTCCCAGATTTTCCTGACCGCTAAATTTTCTGGGATTTAATTAATCATTCTGTGAGTGCAATTTATTTCGGACGGAGAGAAGTTTCAATAAATATTTAACATTTAAAGTTTCCGCTTAGGGTACCCTTTTTTATGTATATATACAAGGGGAAAACCTCGAAGGGTACATAAGAAATTTTACGTCAAATCTCTCGAGCGTCACTTTGTGGGCTACTTGATAGGAATCTCTCGGGGGCTCGCATTTCATTATTTCGAGGAAAAGGCATTTTATTTATTAACAGGATTAATAGAAAAGAGAAAATGGAAGATAATAGACATGTTTTACAGAGAGTACCGCAATGGGTGAGAAGCACGGCCTTACAGATCTTCGAGAACCGCATCGTCGCGCAAAGCATCGCGTCCATCGTCGTTTTCCTGACATTCATCACGGTATTGTCACCACTGGTAAGTGATCGATACATAAATTACGTCTGCTACCGTTTGCGTTTCATTTATTATTAATATAATCATTACATTTGATGCGAAGCATTAATTTCGCACTGATTTATTAAGTGGTTCGCTGAAGTTTCTCGGACATACGCGCCTTTTTCCATCACAATTTGTGTTACATATATATATACAATATATTTTCAATCAGAAAACTCGTTTATGGCAAAATTATAGCGGCGAAGTGAAATTAAAATTCTGGCAGCCATTAAAAAAATTTTTTGACGATATAAATCGCGCGCATGTCGATACGACGATTAATCATAAATGGGCGGAATATAACGGTATTGCTGCGAAAACGTTTAAATCACACGCGGACGGAAGGGATCGTCGATCGTACGCCAGATATTGCTTTTCTCTTTTTTTTTACCCCATCAGCGATCGAATGAATTCGCGTTCACGCAATAAAACTGTGGTAAATAACGGCCGGTTCGTGTATCTTTTTCTCGCAGGTCACGCTGGAAGGAAGCGAGGCTTGCGCCAGCAATAACACTTTGCCTCTCGCCGAATGGCTGGACGAGAATTCCACCGTGCAAAGAATACCGACGAGAAGTAACGATAGCGACATATGTCATTACATTCTTTTCTGCGATGTAAGTGGTAATGCAAATCGACGAAAGAGACATTTGTTATTCCGCGAAGTCATATAAAATATGCACGAGTGATAAGCAAATAATTTCAAGAGATTCTCACGTTTTTTCTTCTCCGTTATATGTATATGTATTTAATTTACGAAAAAAAGAGATTAAAAATGTAGCGCAAGATTAAAAAATATAGTAATCATCTATCTTTTAATAACAAAATTTTTTAACTTGTATATAGTTATTTGTTACTTCATATTACGAAGATATTCTGTAGTTTTTTTAAGTAATAATATTATCTGATTTTTACATACAATTTTTTAATTTGCATTCATTATATACTATATCATTTTTATGCAGCCGTATGAGACTCGAACCAGCTTTTTTACAAAAAAAATGTTGCATAAAAAAAAAACAAATGTAAACGTTTACGATAAAAATTTCTTATTTGTCAAATAATAGAAGATAATTTCAAACAATTTCAAAAGAGATTAAAGTAATTATCTTCTCCCTTCGCGAAAAAAGCCGCGGAAGATTAAATAATATAATCTTTTAATAACAAAATTTATCAACCTCTATACATATAATTGACGTAAAATTTTTCTAGCGGATTGGAAGATTGTAATTTTAGATTAATCTAATACGATTAAAAATACGCGGTGTTTGTCTCGTTTTCTGTAATTCCTTAAACAAGCTTAAACGAGATTTTAAAAAGTTTTTCAAATCTTTTTCAGGGTGTCTAGTAAAATTTGAAAATCTATTATAATTTAAGAACATTTCCAGGACATTTCAAGAAAATTTGCATGATTTTCCAATAGTATGATAAATATGTAAGAGGAACCGAAAATATTTTTTTTATCAAGTCGATATAAATTGCACGTTAATGAAAATTAATATATGCGTTACAAATATTCGATTCCATTCCACAATTATCATAATTTTCAGGGTAAATTGTAAGAAAAATTCTCTTCGTGTATAAACAATTTATGCGCAACACATTTTGAATTCCGTAAATAAGAAATATATTGTATTATTTATAAAGTATATAAGATTAAATGTTTTTACTCGAATTCTCAGCTGACACTTTTAGCTGAATATTTAGAAGCAACGAAAAAAAAAAAAAAATCAAAAAATCTACGAAAAATTCAAGTACATTTCCAGGATTTTTAAAGGAAAACCAAAATTCCAAAACATTTCAAGAATTTCAAGAATGGCTAGACACCCTGTGTTTGATGAAATAATGATAACGCTCGACTAATATACTTCACGCTAACCGATAATGATTGCAGCTGTTTCCGGTTCTGGTGATGTTAGTGATGGTGACATGCGCGGTGTACCAGATCCTAACGTTGGTCTTTAAAGTAACCGTATTGAGCATCGTCGTGATTTTTTATCTCGGGGTCAGCATTGACCAGGCACTAAATGAGGACGACGTCGAGCCCGTCGGAAGATGGCTTGCGGGCGTTCTTGTGGTTTTCTTCATGGCCTGCTTAGTGGCACACTCCCAACACACGGAAGCGACTTACAGGTCCGACAAATTCGAACACACAAGCACAATGGTCCACCCGAAACTTAAGCGGAGTCAGCTCGTAGATATAATTTGAAGCTGTGCAACCCTATTAGCTTTTAAGGCCCTTGTGGAATTTCCCACAAGAAGCTTCGCGGACGATCATTCTCCTGTGAATTGACTTCCGTAATAATTTCGTAGTCAAAACAAGAAACTATGTGTAAACGCATAGAGAGATTAAATTTATTCGCGGAATAAATTTAATATTGATGTTTATCAAATAAATATAATTATACATAATGTAACACATTTCAATTTTGAAAATTATATATATTAAAAAGACACGCAATATTTTTTGTTGATAAATCAATAACAAATATAAATAAAAAATCTCTCAACGCTGTATCCACGCGTGAAACATTCCGTATACTCCAAAGACGTAAATTTCGAGTCTGCCAGATGAAAAAGAATCATAAACTTTCTCGTGCTATAGAAGAACATTAACGTACTCTTTGCATCAATACAGATTAGACTTCCTGTGGAAGTTGCAAGCGACCGAGGAGAAAGAGGAAATGGAACACTTGAAAGCCTACAACCAGAAACTGCTCGCGAACATACTTCCGGAACACGTGGCCGCCCACTTCCTGTCTACTGTCAATTCAGACGTAAGCTCCTTGTAAAAACTTTAAAGAACATTTTCGCGAAAATTCTCGAGCCTCTTAAATGCAAAATACGATATATATTTGCTATACATATTAGAAAAATATATATACACTTTGTTCTACAAGATAGACCAATGACTCTGTCCACTTGGAATATCTCCGTTATTTTTGGAGATACAAAAATATTGTTTTTACAAAAATTGTATCAAAAGAATCATATTATGCTACTAATAATATTTTTGTAGGTGGAGGCACTTTAGAGATTTCAAAGTCATCACCATTTTTTTAAATGGCATGCTATACTTTTTTATCCTTATTGTTAGCATAATAGCAGATGTTTAGACGATTTAAACGACATAATAAAGTCATTCGGCATTTAAATAAAAGTGTAAAACAATGATTCTTACTTCTAACAGAAAGGAAAACATTTTCACAAAGACTGATTTACCAAAATCACGCGAAAGCTAAACTAAATAGACTGATCACTCTCTCAAAATTCTACAAATACTAAAGTCTAAAATTTCTGTTATTTATTTTAAAAATTGTGTGTTAAATTTCTCGCTGGATGTTGAGTTTTTCCATACACGAGTATATCTACTTTCGTTAAACGAAAACATTTTCACATAGACTGAATTACGAAAATCACATGAATACTAAACTAAATAGACTGATTACTCCCTAAAAACTCTACTAATACTAAAGTCTAAAACCTCTGGAATTTATTTAAAAAAATTATAGTAAGAAATAAATACGAATAAAGGATATAGAAATCTCTGACTGATAAAGCTAGTGATTATAAAAATTCAAGTTTTTTTTTATAAATAGTAAGAAATGTAAAAATATTTATATTTGAGAAGAAATGTGTACGTACAATATCTTTGTATATCGTTAGATTATAGTAAAGAATTGGTCGTTAAAATCGTCTAAACATTCGCTATTACGCTAAGGATAAAAAAGTATAGCATGTCATTTCAAAAAATGATGACGACCTTGAAATCTTTGAAGTGCCTGCACCTATAAGAAAATTACTAGTGACCTATGATGGCTCACTTGACCGTACAACTTTTGTAAGTACAATATTTTTGTACTCTAAAAATAACGGAGATATTCCAGGTGGACAGAGTTATTGATCCACCTTGTATATTACATTTTCTGATTTGAATAAAATATAATTTAATGATCTCTCGCTTTGTCCGTTCGACATCTAATCAATTCTTTTGGTTTGCATGACAAATAGAATAATTGAACAAAGGAAAGGAAATATTCGCAATATGCATTTTGACATTTGCTAACGAGGTTAAGCGATTATAGATTACAATAGTAATTTACATCTGAAAAGGGAAATAATATCTTGTATAGACATCCTGAAGTTTATCTTAATAAAATTAACTAACTTTCTGAACCTTCTCTTGTAAGAATCTCCTGTCGGCGACAATTGATAAAAGTATAACAATTTATATCTTTGCTCTTCTTTTACTTTGTTCGTTATTTTAATTCATCTAATTAAATTAATTAAATTTATGAATTATATCTGAAGTATAATTTTACGTTGCTGAACTTTAGTTAGTCTTCGACTGTGAAAAGAGACGCGTAAGAATTAACTCGAGCGATACTGCGCATATTTAGTAGTTCAATTAAGAGTCATTGCTAGAATTTCAATATTTAATCCTAGCTTTGCAGATAAATTAGGATGCCTTAGTTTGTGTACAGTAACTGACGTGAAATGGAGAATTTCAACGGTATTTGCCTAATTTGTCTTGCTCAGAAACGATTCTAAAATTTAAACCAGTTCGAGACTTAAGATGTACATTTCAATGTGCTTGAAAATTGAATCTTGACTTCTCTCATGCAAGCGTTTTTAAAATAAAAATCAGAAAATTATATTTACCAAACATTACAAAAATTATCAAAATAATTGTTGTTGGACTTTAAATTATTACACAACATTTTAGTAGTAAAAGTTAATAGGTTCCTTTAAAAAAAATCTCAAAATCTCTTATTTACCAAAGATTAAAAATTATAAAATTATTATACAGCATATATTTAGTACACGAAGAGAATTTTCTTTTAGAATTTACCCTGAAAATCATGGTAATTATGTACAATATGGTATTGGAAGAATTTATAAAAATTTCTCTAATTAATATTTATCACCAAATTATATAATTTATATAAAAAATATTAATATATACATAGTAAAATTCATCGCACATATTTTATATTTTATTGTGGTACAGATATTACTATTTATATTGTGGTAAATATTAATCAGAAAAATTCCATTACACTATTTTCCACGATTACCATGATTTTCAGGTCAAATTCTAAGAGAAAATTCGCTCTGTGTAGTAATAAGTTGATAAATGCCTTAAAAAAAATCTCAATCTCTTATTCGATGAAAAAGGATGAGACACATCACACACTTGTATCTATTGTTTCGCAGGAGTTGTACCACGAACAATGCGACTTTGTGTGCATTATGTTCGCCTCGATTCCGAACTTTTCGGAGTTCTACGTCGAGCTCGAAGCGAATAACGAGGGCGTGGAATGCCTCAGGCTTCTCAACGAGATCATCGCTGACTTTGACGAGTTACTCGCTGAGGAACAGTTCAAGTACATTGAAAAGATCAAGAGCACGGGTGCCACATACATGGCCGCTTCGGGTAAGTCCCCATCGAAGAATTCTTAAGCGACGACACACTTCGACGAGCCTTTGATTCGCTTTCCTCCCCGAAGGCGGCTTTCCGAGCCATCGGCTCCTTTGCCGATTTCAGAAGAACCGGCGTTTGCTTGCGCAATTTAATCGCTAGCTCGGCCGAAATTAATCGAATTATTATCTTAATAATTCTCTAATTCGTTCCGGCGATTCGCGGATGTACAATAAATTCGCAATAATACATACATAATCTTCATCGGACATTTGTAACTACACTGAAAAAAATTTATTAAATTTGAATAAAATTTACTTCCAATTATTCATTTGAAACTGATAATATTGATTCGATGTGAAAAATATTTATTTGTTTCAAATAAATGATTTATTAAACAGTACTGAAATAAATATTAATTTAATAATTGTTTTTCAGTGTATAATCTTTGGTATTTATTCGCAAAAAATTGCTGTTTTTATATATTTGCACGAAAAGAGAAATCTAATTTTCCACGACGTCCGTAACAATTTTCTTACAATTTCCTAACAGTCGCTAATCACATTACGAGGAAGAATACCGCGATAGGAATGCCGTCGCGCTAAGTTAACCTTTGTCTCTTTCTCTCTTTGTTACATCAGGCTTAACGAAAAGCACCTGCGACATGCGGGATTTCAAGCACGTAGTCGCTATGGCGGATTACGCTCTGAGAATCCGCGAGCAGCTGGCCTATGTCAATGAACACAGCTTTAATAACTTCCGCATGCGTGTGGGCATCAACATCGGACCGGTAATCGAAATACATCAACTGTAATTTTCAATCGCGCCCTCCCCGTGTCGTCATTAATATAATGCATAAATTATTACAACAAAAATACATCGCTCGAGAAGACATCAGAAATTTGCAATAAAAATTTTTGATTTTAAATCGAGAAAATAGTATAATAAATTTATATGGAAATATTAATTCAGGGTGTCTAGTAAAATTTGAAAATGTAATTCAAGAACATTTCCTGAACTTTTCAAGAAAATTTGCACGATTTTCCAATAGTATGATAAATATATGTAAAAAAAACCGAAAATTTTATTGTTTCTATCGAGTCGATATAAATTGCACGTTAATGAAAATTAATATATGCGTTACAAATATTCGATATAGTATTATTTTATATTATATTTGGAACTTTTAAAGACACAAAAAAATTTTTTTCTTAGAATTTATTCTGAAAATCATACACTGAGAAAAAAATGCTGTTGAATAAAAAAAATATGACTTTGATTCAATTAAACGTAATATTGATTCATCAGTATTATAGTTGAATCTCATTAAACATTTGTATTAAAAGAACCATACATCATTTTTGAACTAATAATATATAAAGTTATATTCACAATATGCAGAATTATAGAAATTCTTTTAAATTAACAATTAAATTACAATATAATTATGGAATTTTCATATATATGATTATAGGAATACTGCATAATATTTTTTCATTAAAATATTTTTTTATTCAACTTCATATTAAATTTGTATTATTATTTATACAATAAAAAAATCATAAAGATCTACAAAAAATTCAAGTACATTTCCAGGATTAAAAAAAAAAACAAAATTCTAAAAGATTTTAAGAATTTCAAGGACGGCTAGACACCCTGTAATTTCGCAAAAAATTTTAATAATTAAAAAAAAAAAAAAATTTAATCGGAAAAATATTGATAAACTTGCTATAGATTTTCATAATGTTTATAAATTACGCAGGTGGTCGCCGGCGTGATCGGGGCCAGGAAACCGCAGTACGACATTTGGGGCAACGCCGTGAATGTGGCCTCCAGGATGGATTCGACGGGCGTGTTGGACGGGATTCAAGTCACCCAGGAGGTGCACGATATCCTGGTCACCAAAGGATACCCGCTCACCTGTCGTGGGACGATCCAGGTAAAAGGGAAAGGAAGTATGGTGACGTACTTCCTGGACGGCCCAAAGGATATTGCGAAACCCAATCAGGTGGATGTCACCAGGACGAATTCCAACAACAACGACGCCACAGACAAAACAACGGTCAACAACACCAGCAACGGGACTGTCTGATTGGTATTATTTATTATAGGCATTGAAAATCGTAGAATTAATATTGGAGTATATATTAGAGTTTTTGAGCATGTGTAAAATTTCTCTATCATATGCAGGGTGTTTGAAAAATTCCTAGTATCATTCGGGGACGATTTTTCCTCGGCAAAAATGTCGAAACACCAATAATTTTCGAATCCTAAACAGTTAAAAATAAAGACTTTTTTGGTATTGGTAATTAAATCTTGTAGAAATAAAAATAACAGAACTATATTATTCAGCTAATTTTAGGTAGAGTTTACTTTAATAAAATTTTAATATAAGGCTTGGTTATAAAAATGCATAATAGCAAAAATTGAGAATATGTTGAAATGATGGCCTCTCTCAACATTTTCACTAAGAAAAAATCGTTTTCAAATGATACCAGGAATCTGACATTAAAAACTTTTCCGCCGGAAACACCCAGTAGATAATTTTATCTCTTGTGTATATCTGACATCATTTCTACACAAAGAAAATTAATAAAATAGTAACGAAATAATAAAGATCAGAATATTGTTGAATTTGTCAAGAAGAAAAAATTATCTGATGTTGTTTCGTGATTTAAGAAATGTTCAACTTTCTATCCTCGCGATCGATTTGTTGCATAAGTATGATGCATGTTCGATGCATGTTTCGATTATATTATATCGGCACGATAATCGATGGAATTAACTCACGATAAATCTGAATTCGCCAAGAGAAACAAACCGCACGAAAAAGGCTTATTATTTCAGACGAAACTAATATCAACAGTAATGCATGATCGTAAATTATTATCTATCTGAAATATTTTGCAAATTGCTGTCAAAATATCCGAGTATATCATACTTTATGGCGGTTGTCTCGCAACTTTTTTAACCAAACTTTCCACTTTTATAATACGTCAATCATGACTTCGAAAGTATATCATCATCTATCTCGATTAATTTATACACAATCTGAAGTTATCAAAAAATATAGAGAAAAAGTAATATAAGTAATTTTCGATATTTTATTTAAGTCGCGCTTCGTAAAAAAATATAAAGCGTTTTAATTTAGAAATAAAAACAAATAAAACTTAATTTTATTCAGCATCAATTGCGTATCGATTAAAGTGCATCAATTTTTCTTCTTTCTTCAAGATATTCATTCAACAAATATGTTAAAAAAAAAGAATTCTGCACGGAAGCAACCTTGTTATTATTAATCCACCGACACGCATTTTTCTCCGAATACTGTGTATATTTTCATTCATTAATCGAAACTCGTGCTTTGTCTAGCGTGAAAGATTTTACCGCACATATTGCACAATATCTTGTTAATGTAAAGTTGCCACTATGTCAAGTTACACCAATACCAGTCACGGGATCGTTATGTAACACTTTCAACCGCACCGTCACATCACAGAACAAATATGCGTGTATCGATGAGAACACGTGCACAATCAGTTACATAACATCTACGCCGATGGATATTTATTGTGTAAAATCTCGTTACTCAGCAGACTTTTTGCGAAATATTTCACATATAGTCGCAAAAGGGGTTTGTGTCCACAAAAAATGAAACGTGCAAAAATCGATTAACGAAGTACGCTTTCAGAAAATTGTACAAAATGATAATTGAATATTTAACGCGAGAAATACGCAGTGATCGAGATATTTAGAATTCCATAAATTTTGCGAAATGTTAATATTTTAATAAAAAAAAAAACGATCTATATGTACTGTGAACAATAACTTTCACCAAACGTAAGGTACATTAATATTATCGTCGCATTATGCAAATATTTGAAATAAAAAATTGCGAGTGAGAAAGACCTCTGTATACATATTTATACGTAATGCTTGCAATTTATATGTAATTTTGTATAAATTATTTTGCTTGTGTCTACACGTAATTTTCATATTTAACGTCACCTCTGGCTCGATCGTTAATGAATCGATAATGTCGACAGGTGGGAATGCTTGAGCAAGAATTCGCGGCGAAAGACGCGTCACACCGACGATAGAAAGTACCAATTATTTTATTCCTGCATCATTTAAGACTTCTTCCATGTGCTGGAGCCGAAAAAAAAAGAAAAAAACGGCCGCGTAATCTCTAAAGCGCGTTTGCACAAATTGGAGCCGTCGAATGCCGTATAAACGACGTCAATCGACCTCTGATACACAAACGGAATAATTGCGCCACTAGTTTTAAGAGTCTCAAGGCGAACGAAGCGTGATCGACGCTCGCAAAAGTAATCCTGGTATTTTGGTGCGGATTTCAAAAGCGAGTTATGTTTTTCGTTCACTCACTTTTGAATTAACCGGATTAAAGGAACTGTAAAAACCGCGTATGAAGCGCGAACTGTCAAAAACAGTTCGACCAATTAATAAAATCTCGAAATCAAAATATTTTTTGCAAACCTTCAAAACTTGTGCAACGAAATATTATTATATATATTCTTTCCGTTCGTATATAATTTTTTTTATCGTTTTGGTCTCAGAAGGATTTGGACCATCATTAGCAAATGTCAAATAATACATAAATTGCGTGGATTATAGAAATAAATTTAAATAATTGTTTGCAGCTGTAAATATTTAGCAAACTCGAGATAAATATGTACCGAAATACCAGACGTTATAAAAATAAGCTGGCAGCCGTCGTTCTCTCAGATAGATGCAGTACTTAAACTTGAACAATGCCTAAAAATGTATGTGATTGTATGTTAGCTCTTCAATTCTTTCTGCGAGTGCTAATTTAAAATTAATTAACGAGCGATATCAGGAGGATTATTTTTAAGATAATACGGTGCTGCGAACAGAAGATATGTCGCCAGAAACGCGTCGGCGCGCTTCTCTAGAAAATTTCTTTCGAGGATGAGTACATACGATGCTAATTAAGTGAAGTATTATATACAACAACTTTCAATTTACTCATGAACTTAAGTAGCGCACAATTACTTCATTACAATTAAGTAGTTAACATTTCTGATAAATCATTTCTTCAATCATATTTTCAGAACATTTAATTCCCTATAAAATTCAAACAGATTGCGAAAAGTTTTCAATTTTATATTATATTCATACATTTCGAGATAAATAAAATTATGTTTTATATGTATAAATTTCAAGCTATTAAATATTTTTCATAACTTGTCAATATAGTCTTCGAAAGAGACACCAGAACAATTTTTAACAATTATAAGAATAATAATTTTACATGCAGAGAAAGATTTATTCTCTTACAACAATAAACGCCAATATTAACAATAAGAACGCCAACATCCTCGAAGAAATAAACACGCATAATGTTAACTTATGGATTTAGTCTAAAATGCAGCATTAGTTAAAAACTTGGGGCAATAATATGTTAAACTTTACAGAACAATTAAAAATTGCTATAAATAACATGATATGCAATATATAGTAAATTTTCAACTTAATTTTAATGAAGTATCATTCTAACAATAAGAGAAAAATCTCCTTTTTTTATTTGTTTCAACATGTTATTGACCCAAATACTTCATTTAATACATGTGATTTGTAAATAATAGCTTGATTATTTGTAATATAATTTCTAAATTAATTGCAATATTAAATCTCTCTCGTGTCCAACACGTTACTTCTGTAAAGTTGACACCTTTTTTTTAATTATAAAAAAAATTATTAGTTTTGGACACCCTTATAGAGCAGAACTCTCAATAAAAATAATATCTGTCTTCTTGTATTTTTTTTGTACTTTTTTGTATTTAACATTTTTATATGTATATACTTTGATGCAAGACGAATTTTTTGTTTTTCAAAATATCTAGAAATCAGAACTAATGTTTATTGTTTTATATATTTAATAAAGATTAATGCAAAACTATCCTATAACTACTGTTAGATTATTTTAGAAAAATTGTAGAACTATTTGAAATATTTTCATAAATAACTTTAAAGAAAATTGCAAATTCTAAGAAAATCCGGAAATATATAATTTTTGAAATTAAAAAAAAAATGGCAACTTCAGAGGTAGCAAGTTAGACATGTTGATGCAAGTTTTTATATTATTCTAGTCAATATGAAAAGTCTCCCATGAATATATGCATATATGTGTATGTAATCAGAACCAAGTCGAAAAAGATTAAGTCTAATACAACGAAACCGTGGATGAACAAGCCTCATATATGTATGTACACAGTTTGATTTAACAAGAAGGGGACCACGGCAAACTAATTGTATATTGACGATTGAATTGTAGTCGCCTCTAAAAATGTGAAAAAGAAATTATTTTTGTTTTATATTTTTGTGTTTACTCTTTACAATTATACTAGTCGATATCTTAAGCAAGAAAAGAGTCAAGCATTTCTCAATCTAGAATTCACTAAAAAATTATTCCTAAAGAAAATTCTTCACATAAATTAATAATCTAGAAATTAATAAATTTAAGATAAAAATTGCTAAAAATTATTAGGTAATCTTTTATTGAGAAAATTTATTCTCATAATTAAATAATCATAAATTATATTTCACAATAATTGAAATTTTCTATTAAAATATGGAAAATTTTTGCAAGTTATGAAAAAAAAAAATTAAAAACTGGTCCAACAAAGGCAACTTTATCCTATTAAACAATTTTTTGTTCCATTTCTTCTATGATTGGGAAATGTATTAAAAAAGCGATTTATAGATTGTACATTATGATTTTTCATCGTTGTAAATTCCTGAATAGCAATTTGTTTATCATAAAATTATTTATACCTATAAAATTTAATGTCATGCATATTTAAGTATTATAAAGCGACATCTTTTTCTATTAATAAGAGCTTTAAATAGTCCTTTACCCGTCCGCAGCTATTTTGATTTCAAGATTTTAAAGGACTTCTAGCTCGTAAAAATAAGTTTATATTATTAAAGAAGTAAACTTGGAGCGAATGTAGGAAAAAAACGGACGAACGATTTTCTACGCTAACCAATTTTCCGACAGAAATTTAATGAAATTGCACAATGTTATTGTGGCGTCGACCAATCGATGAATAACTTTTTTTCTTTTATCGATCTCAATGGTCTATAAAAGAATGTCCGGAAATTGCATTTGATTCTATTATCTGTAAAGAAAACTACGAAAATAAACATTGAAAAGCGTTAATTAATTTAAGAAACATTTTTCTTTATCGGCCACAGTATATAATTAGTTAAAAAACTATCATACTGTTATATAAAAAAAGTCACAAGATTGTAGAGAATAAATGAAAAACGAGAACAAACGAGAAATAATTTTCAACACAAGAATAAAAGACTGAAAGAGAAATGTAAGTAAATATAAAAAGACTTTTTCTTTGTTGCTTCAAAAGACAAAAAAGAATAACCCAACGCTTTGATTAGTAAAAACAAAGCTGTTGCGACAGCGAATACCAAGATATAAAAAGATAAGCATTTTGTAAAATCCTCCAAATGGAATAAAAAATGAATAAATGAATAAATGCAATTTTACAGAATCAATATTTCAACTATTAAAAAAATCATTTTTTAATTTAAAGTAGAAAAGCGCAAAAAACGCATTTTTTTCCTTATTTAAAACATTGAAATTTATAAAAAAAACGATATCGAAATTATCAAATCGTAATCTCTGAAGGAAATGTTTACGTAGAAACGATCGATCGATCGATTCGAAATGCGAATTCGACGAGAACGTCGATATTCTGCAATATTCAATGTCTAATACATTAGATACATTCATAGAGACTTGTAAATATGTATGTATGTATATGAAGCGCTTGAGAGCATATGGTATGTGTACAAACTCGGCTAAAAGGTATACATAGATGTTAATTACGTTGATGTGTATTAATTATGTCGGCGCGGCGCGACACGAGCTCGATCTTCTCGATCAAAATATACATATCGATCTTCTGTGCGCCTAGGCAATCCTTTCCAAACGATAAATTAAAAAAGAAACTATATTTATTATAGGCAAACTAGTAGAGCACATAAAAGATATTTTGACAAGTCTAATTAACTTAATTGAATAATTGAGTAAGTGTATTTCACGTACACATCATTCAATTAAATACTGTTAAATGAGATGTGTGAGCAAAAAAGTACGACGTGTCAGACGATTCACGTCGAATTGAAATTAAATGCTAATTTTCGCGATTTGATTATGTGTGCTGCGGCAAATTTAACACTCGATTAAATTAAATCGCCGATCGATGGACACGATATACTTGATAAAATACAAATAAACATCAAGCTTACGCTTTCGTGAGAATTTCAGTCGCGCTGGCAGGTCCAGCTAATATTGAATGTTGATTGACGTAAGCGATTGACGAGGCTAATCGTGTAAAGATGCGATTGTTAAAGCAAAGAATTAAGCGATCAAATCGTATATTAATAAGCAGCGGGATCACTTGTGCTAAGATCTTCCTTTGATGCATTAATTACGATGAAACATAATTGCTTAAATAACAAATTTCAAAGACGTAAGAACGTTTCTCGTGAAAAATTTTTTATATATAATAATATAAAATTATATATATAGAAATATATAAAGTTATACATATAATTGCAAAATTATATATGAAATATGTCCATACATAATAAGATAAGTGCTTTTTATATATATAATTATATAAATTATATATATATATAATAAATATTTCTCCATATATATATAATGTTTCATATATAATTTGATATGATTATATATGAACCCTTATAATTTATATATATAAATTTATATAATTATGTATAAAAATAGACATCTTTCACATATAATTATATATAAAAAATTTTTTCCCGGGTTTGCCTAAATATATATGTATAATAAAATTTAGAAAAATTGATACACATTATATGTCAAATTTACTTTATTTTTAAATAAACAAACTTATACTTAAAAATAAAATTGCATATTGAAATATTAATATATTCAAAGTTGTTTCGAACATTTTTCCCGTAAAGTTCTACTTCTCATCATTACATCGATCGTTACACACATACATAGAACACGTGATTTTTTTTGTTAAATAATTTGAACTTAATGTACAAAACCATCGAGACAACGTCGAAGCACAAATGATCCATGTTAACTCGAACTTATTGTGCACCATATACTGTATCAGAGTAAGCTCTTACATCATAAGTCCATTTACTACATGTTACAGCCTATTAGGAGCCTATTAGCATCAAAAAGTTAATTGTCGAAATATAACAAGAATAGGCATTGGTTCTGTCGACGAGAATTATAGTACACTCCATTCTGAAATTATTAAAATATCTAAAGTTCGACGAAGTAATTTATCTTTTTTAAGAAAAAAATAATTCATTTTTTAAAGAAATATCAAATGTTTAAAAAAATTAATAAAAGCCTTAGTTTTTTTAAGGGCAGACAATTAAGACACTGTGAATGACTTTGACTCGTCGGCAGTAAATTAACAGTTGTTAAAATTAATACGATAAGGAGTATTGTATATCGTAAGAAATTTGAAATATATCGATCAGTAAATTTCAAATTTCTTATGATATACTTCTTATCGTAATATCATCCAGATTTCCGTATGACAATTCTTGTCTATCACAGGAAAATGCGGAAACTTCGTCGATGACGTCGGTAAAATGTCGCGTCAGTCTTATAGTCAATATGTAACGTTACGGATCGATTGAGAGTCTATTAAATAAAAATCGAAAGTGCACGAGAAATAGAACGAGAAGTAAAGACTATATTTATGATCCAAGAAAAATGTTGATGTAATTTTCGATGGCCTAAAGTTCAGTCTTTACTGAAAACACACATCTATATCATAGTTATAATAATCGCGCGCCGTGATTAACACATGCTGATATGAAATAAATTTTAATAAAAAAGATGGTGCTTTTTCTCTGCATTCTTTTCCTCTCTTACAACTTTTTTCAAAAAGAAAAAAATTATTCAAACGTAAAACGTTTTATATATATTTTTATCTATAAATTATTTATCTTGATCTAGAGATCAAGATTTATATATATTTATTATATCAATACTTTTACTCCTGCAATTTATTCAATTCAATCAAAAAAAAATTTGATGAAATTCTCAGAATATTATACTTATATCACATACAAACTGTCGTAGTCCTTCCAGTTAATCCATTTAGGTAAAAAGAAGAACCGGTTTCCTATCCGGTTTCTTGACCTGCGTTTATTCTTATAGTTTTATTATTAGTTTCTTCAAATCATTCAAATGGCAACTAACATAAATTTATCGATAAGTGATATTGTAAAATATTACTTTCCTAATTTTGAAAAAAAATCTAATGTGTAAAATTATTTTACTAAAATAAAATTTATTATAACTTATTATAATTTAACAAAGAAAACTATTTTTATTGATAGCTATTCAATTCTGATGTTTAAAGTATAATAATAAAAAATATTTTAATACAATTTTTTATCAACTAACACTTTAGTAAGTCTTTTATAACTTTAATATTACGCTCGTTATTGTATTTAATCTCTTTAAAAAATTATTTAAATTATGGAAAGAAGAAAGAGTTAACAAAGATATAAAAAAATCAAGTTTTGTAATAATCTATAACATTCAATGATAATATCGTTGTAAATTCTAGCAGAAGTAAGCTTGACTCTTTCAAATTTCCCACGCAAAACTGAGGTCGCTAGATCAATACTTCACATAAGTGCGTATCAGTGCCAACTGCACGCAAAGTCCAATATAAACTAACGCTTCTAGAAAAGTTATTTTTCTGCTCCGAAACCGAAAGAGAAATGAAAAGATAATTATCAAACTAAAAATACCCTTCACCGGAAAGTCGCTTCAAAATTAATGTCTCTGACTTTTCCGCGAGATGTCGTCGATTTTATTTTTAACTGTCCGAGAGGATGGCCAACCTGCCTGACGGTAGAACACAGATGACTGCAGTCATGAATGAGACGCCGCCGCGAACACTCGGGAAAACACGTGATTGCTCGTAAATTTACTCGAACTGTCAAACACGCCAAAGTGCACGTGGTACGGAATTTCGCGCGCGATATAATCTTGCGTGTCTCGTTGGCCAAAATTATTTTGCGATTGCATAATATTTGTAAGTCAAGATCTGATTATGTAAAATCGTCGTCCACAAGGCGACTCGGACACGACCGGAGAATGTCAGTCGTACGAAAGTGAAGGTGTATAATTTGCCGGTTTTACAGCGGTTGCACGTACATTTTTTTTATTCATGTGCCAAGATGAGCGTATTGCATAATATTATTGCAAACCACGTGGGCAAACGGTTGTGCAATCAGCGAAATAAACCAATGAGTGAATAGCGAATTGTTTTATCAACAAATATGAATAAAAAAAATTTTAATTTATTATAGAATTTAAATAAAAAAATTAAAAGTTTTGATGCAACTTAAAACTGCGCGCGCACGCGATAACAAATTTATTTTCATTCAAAAGAGTTTGATTTGTTTTATTTAAATTTGTGGAAAAATCAAGGATGCAGATATAAACTTATCATACTGAAGGCAAAATCAGCTGATACGCAATAGTATTTATAGTTAATATACTAACAATAAGACAATCAACAGAAGTTCAATTTGTTTCATTTAAAAAAATTGTGAATATTAAACATGATATTTTCGTACGAATATTAAGCTCTCCCAAATTTATAATTAATAGAAATAGTGTTATAATATTCTTTAATTAATATTTTCATCAGTTAGATATTAAAAACTACACATAAATTTAAAACTCTTCTTGCTTATAAAAGTTTTCTTATACATTTTATTCAATTTAAACTATAAATTTCATTTAATCATATTGATTTCTAAACTTACAAAAATCAATATCTTGAAGTTGTTTATTATATTGATTGTATCGATTTTAATTACATTATATGTAATTAAAATCAATCAAAAAATTTATAAGATTAAATACAATACAATTAATTTAATATATTTATATCTACATCTATCTGTTATCAAATCGATATAATAACAAAAAATGTTGTGAATGACGTCTCTCAATAATAATCGGAGAATAATCTAATGCGTCTTTAAACATATCATGCTAATGATATAATAATTACAAGTACTATTATGAAAAAAATAAGCGTATCTGCTATCATCCTTTGCGCATCAACAAATTTCTCAATAACAATTTCGTAAATCGAAAGTAATCGAAAGTAAAATGCTAGGCATTTAATATTCAACTTCTAATTGTCTCATTTTCATAAACTCGTCCGGCTTCAATTATTTAAACACATTGGGAACGACATGATAACAAGTGCTCATAAAAATAACTTAAAATAGCAATAGATATATTTTATTTTACGACGTGATAATTTCGATATTTGTATCGATACTGTGCAAGTCTTCAACAAAACCATTTTCCGATCAATGAACTCGAAAGCATTTGTGCCACAAATATAATGCAACACAATATAAAAATGTGTATAACATTTTAATTGACAATTAATCGATATTATTTATCCATTTTCGACCAGATAACTGCGAGAATTATCGCGCCACTCATTGAAATAACTTGAAGGCAGTTGAAGAAAAAATTAAATTTTTAAAGGCTGAGAATCTTGGAGCTCTAAAATTTTGCAGTTGATAACGAAAAGTCGTAAACGAGCCGGCATACATGCAATTTTGACTGATAAGCAATTTTCATCACGTAGATAAACGATTCCCGCTCATTCTTACTCGTCAAAGACAAAAAAAGAATTAGCTTAGTAATCAAGAAGCATATCGAACTTATTAGTATATTCTGTGAGATGTGCAGTAAAGAAAGAGACTTTACGCGTGAGGTTCGCGAGACTTTGCAAGAAAAATGAATATATAAAATAGGCTACTCGAAAAAGCTATAAAAGTGCTCCTACATAATTGAAAAAAAAGAGGAATCTTTAATAAAGATGGCAAAACCTGTAATGATTAGTAGCGATATTAAAGCCGACGAGGTAAGTTACAAAATATTATATTTTGATTTAATTTACAAAATACACACTGAAAAAAAATTTAGTTAATTCTTATAAGTATTTATTTCAATACTGTCAAATAAATCATTTATTTGAAACTAATAATATTTATTTGATATGAAAAATATTTGATATAAGAAAATCCTTTTCAAAACAAATAAATATTTATTTGTTTCAAATAAATGATTCATTTGACAGGATCAAACTAAATATTTAATTTAACAAATTTTGTTTTCAGTGCGTGTTTAATTCAATTCTTTAAAAATTTAACATTTCTAAAAACATTGCAAAAAACACAGAAGGAAGAGAGAATTAGCGGAGATGTTTTTTATTAAAAAATATAAGAGTAACATCAATTTACAAAGGGACACAGAAAATCTAAATCCTATTTATGATAAGTTGATCCACAGTATATGATTGTCTATTTATTTATTTATTTATTTATTTATTTATTATTCGTTGTATTGTCGAACTGAGATATTATTGTGTTTTTAAATGTTTGACTTAAATCGTTTTACTTGTCTCCAGTTTAACATTAGTAATTTTACTGCTGTCGAATCAACATCTTGAAAGGTACATTATTTTTATTTATTGTAAATTTCTTCGTTAACAACTTTGTAAATTATTGTCTCATATCTTAATCATTGTATATTTTTATTGTGCAGTTACACTTGAAAAGGACCCGTACCTAAGGGTCGAAACGTAGTGTTTCAAATTAAATTGTATTGGCCAGTTAGGTCGAAAATTTCAATAAATTTGTATGGTATTTCTAAAAATATTTTTATGAGAAAAAAAGAAAGAAGAAATAGATATACTTCTCTCTACCTATATTTTGGTGAAAAAATTCTTTTTAATTCTTTTCGATATTATTTAACACAATCGCATTCTATCATTTAGTAATTTCAAATAAATGTATAGAGTTAATAATTAAAACATTTTCTCATATTTTTTATATTATCTCTCTCTCTCTCTTTCTCTCTCTCTCTCTCTCTCTCTCTTGTAAGACTTCTTTCCTATTAATTATATATATATTTATATATATTATTTTGTATTATATATTTAATACAAATAATATAATAATATATTTATATTATTATATTGTATATATTTATGTTATCGGCTCTTTTTAGCAATATGTATAAAATTAGTTGCACATATAACTGTGTGATATTCATAATAATTATATTTATATATAGCAAAATTTATTTTATTACTATACCATCTTAAAGTATTTAATTATATGCAATTATATCAGTAACAGTTTTCTCAATACAATATACAAGGCGATATAATCAATGTAAGCAATTAATATAGCGGTAAACTAGAAAGTTCAATTAAATATGATACATCAAGAAAAACATGATAGGTGATCGCTAAAAAGACTACATAACTACTAAATCAGGATTCTCATTAGAAGAGAAAGGCAGTTATATCAGATGAAAAGAGCAGCTTTCAAATAATAATCCAGTGATGTATGTTTAATATCGTATGCGTAATATCGTGATTAAATATCAAGCCTTCTAAAAATTTTATAACTTTATAATTATTTTACAATTTTATTGAAGCTTTGAGAAGAACTTCTACAATTATTTATTCTTTTACACGGTTAAATTGTACAGAAAAATCGGTAGATATTTTCCTCAAGCATAAGTATTTATTTTAATTTTGCTTGTTATCATAATATTACTTATATCAGAATATATTATTAGTATTCTGTATCTAAAACACGACTCGATAGCTAGAAGTCAAGAGTTCAAAAGCATACGTTATCTCGTAAACGGTAAACCAAGCTGAAAGCTAAGCGGAAACAAAAGGCCTGATATACTTTGCATTTGATAATTCTCATTTCAGCGTGTGCCATAATATTTTCTAAGATTATATTTATACCTAAAAATACATATAAAATCATTAATTGACGGAGCTATAATTACAATTATTCAACACTAAATAGAATTATCAAAAAAATATTAATAACATTTGTTTAGATTATTCTAACTTTTCGTAGATTTAATGTTATCCTTTAAATTTTAAACTGTCAAGCACATTTTTTTTACTCATTCATTATTTTACCAGTTTTCATAACTCTTAACAAAAACAGCTTTTATATATACATACATACATAATATATATATATATATTATATATATATATATATATATATATATTCTTACTGCATACAAGTTTCATATAAATCTTTTTTTAATTAAACGTTTGTTATAATGTGAAAAATAAATTCAAGTCAACAATTTTTCTATCGTTCGATTACATTTTAGTATTCGTTTTGCAGGCGATATCACAGATGGAATCTTCCTACAGAAACAGATGCAGACAATTCTTTGGATGGACAAAATATATATCGGTAGAGCCAACAATGTGGCTTTACATGATGGCATTTATGTTTACATCGGTGGTCGAGCAAGATTTCTTTAGGCACAAAGCATGCCGGGTCGATCACGGATATTCCGAAGAAATCTGCTCCAAGTTAAACGATGATAATAATAAAGCGATAAAAACCGAAGTGCAGGTAAAAATTACAATACATCGTTTAAAAAAATAAAAATAAAAAAGCGAGAGAAAGCGGAAAAAGATGCCGTTATTAAAATATCGGAATTATAGTTTAATAACAACTCGTGAAACCGTCAGAATTCCATCAAAAATAGCTAATTGTGTAGAAATATTCAACTTGACAACCGCGTTGATAACTTATACGATAAAAATTATATATGTAAATGAATATAATTATCTTATCTGCAACCTTATAGTCACAGCAGTGCAATAATGTGAGAAGGGCACTACAATGTAAGAAGTGCTTATTGAACGAAGATAAGCGGCAGATAAGAACAAGCTATCAAGTTAAATATTTGTACGAGATGAACACAAAGTAGTATCATATTTTTCATATTTTTAGCAAATTTAATATATTCTCTCGGGCACATAAAATCATCTTTCCGTATTCTTTATTGTTTTACGGAAACTTATATTAGAAGCAATAAAATTAAATAAAGCGCATACTAAAAAAATGCAATGTAATCGAAAAATTAATGACAAAGCGAATTGACATCTCAGATTACTACACTGAAAAAATTTTGTTAATTCTTATAAGTATTTATTTAGTATAAGAAAATCCTTTTCAGAACAAATAAATATTTATTTGTTTCAAATAAATGATTCATTTGAATGTATTGTATTAAATATTTCTTACTTTAACAAATTTATTTTTCAGTGTAAATATATTAGCAAGCAATCTTTCTCTCTATGTGCATTTTTCGAAATTTCGCATTTACGTTCTTTATTATTTTAGGAAAACTTATATTAAAAGCAATATACACATTAAATAAAGCGCATAACTAAAAAAATACAATATAATCGAACAATTAATTACAAGCGAATTGACATCTCAAATTGTTTAATGCGCATTTTACGGAACTTCGCATTTACGTTCTTTATTGTTTTACGAAAACTTATATGAAAAGCAACACTGAAAAAAATGTATTGAATTCGAAGAAATATTTATTTCAATATTGCCTAGCAAATCATTTATTTGAAATTATAATAATATTGATTTGATGTGAAAAATATTTATTTGATATAAGAAAATCCTTGTCAAACCAAATAAATATTTATTTGTTTCAAATAAACGATTTATTAGGCAGTATTGAAATAAATATTTATTAATTTAATAATTTTTTTTCAGTAAATAAATTAAACAAATAAGCGCATACTAAAAAATGCAATGTAATTGAAAAATTAATGACAAAGCAAATTGACATCTCAAATAATTTACTAAATAAATTAGTATAAGCAATCTTTCTCTCTGTGTGCATTTTTCAAAATTTCTCCTTCGCTACGAACTAAAATATTCTTTCACATTGAGAATAGAATTTTTTTCGTCAGTCAGTGGACTATCATTCCTTAATTAGTGTCCATTAAAAGAAATCATCTTGCAGATAACCGTCTCGCAATTCCATCAATGGAACGACATCGCCGGACATGTGATGCCTATCATCTTGGCGATGTTCTACGGGAACTGGAGCGATCGGCGTGGCCGCAAATTGCCGCTCGTCTTTGGCTTGATGGGCAAATTTATCTACTCTTTCATGGTGGTCATCAATTCGATGATGGACACGTGGAAACTGAACACGGTGGTGTACACGGCCACTCTGCCAATGAGTCTGCTAGGAGGCGACGTTGCGATCTTCGCTAGCTGCTTCGCGTACATATCGGACGTGTCTTCCGTTCAACAGAGAACCCTGAGGATCACAATTTTGGATGTCGTTTATCTCAGTACGATGCCATCGGGTGAGTTCGGCAGAGAGATTCTCTCTTGAAAAAAATTGTCCTCTCGAAAAAAGTATGATTATCCACTTCCTTCCAAAAATTTGCCAATTACATATTTTTAAGACATATATATAAATATGCAGCTCTAAATTTAAGAACAGAAATCAAGAAAGTATCTTAAAAATACAAGTTTCATGAATATATGATAAATATGCAGTTCTAAATTCCGAGGACAAAAATCAAGGAAGTATACTTTAGAACTGCATATTTATCATATATTTCATGAAACTTGTATTTTTAAGATACTTTCTTGATTTTTGTTTTTAAATTTAGAGCTGCATATTTATCATATTTCATAAAATTTGTATATTTTAGATACTTTTTTGATTTTTATGCTCTTGAATTTTGAGCTGCATATTTATGAAATATGAATTATTCTTTGTCTCAGCTTGATGGTTATTGATGCTGATTATAAATATGAACAAAATATATTATACATTTTATGCAATTTAATAATTGCATTTCTTCTTCTTTGCAGGAGTCGCACTTGGATCTTACGTCTTCAGTCACTTGGTTAACTCGTCCTACACGATTATGTTCATCGTGAACGCCACCTTGCTTGCGTTAGCGATTGTTTATTCATTCGTGTGGCTCAAGTGGCAAACATCATCCCGACAGCAACCGTTCTCCGGCACCAATTGGCTGGTAGACTTCTTCGATATGAGACATGTCGCCACGACGATGCGAACGTTGGTGAAGTCGAGGCTGAACCACGGCAAACTCCACTTGTGGTGTCTCCTGCTCGCTATGTGCCTCTATACATTCCAGAGAGACGAAAAACCGAAGACTCAGATGTATACCTCACTGATCTTCAAATGGGACGTGACAGACTTCAGCAACTTCAAAACATTCCAATCGACACTCTTCGTGTTGGGTCAGTTTGTGGCAAATTATTTATCGAATTTAAATCTTTGACATTTCACGAGTCTTCATTGTAATTGAAAAAGAAATTTCTCTTTTTATTTGCGCGTATCTCTCAGAAATTTCTTTTTCAATTTCTTAAATTCTACTCAAACTTAATTTATCTCTTATTATGTCAATGAATATAAAATTATTAATTACTAATTAATACTATAATTAATTACTATCTAATTTATAACTACTATACATTACTAATTACTGTAATTTATGTTTAATTAAAAGCTTCTATAAGCATTTAATTAAATTGTGTATGTATCCGTTTACAACGTCGTTTTTTTAAATATAAAATATAAATATAAGAAACAAAAAGATGTGTAAAATGTAATGTATTAGAAATTTTGTTTCAACAGCAATGCTCATCGGGGTGCCTATAATGAGCAAATTAATAGGAATGAGAGATACCTTTATCGTAGCAATCGGAGCAATAGCGCACGCATCCGGAAGAATAGTATTTGCGTTAGCGGAACGACCGGAACTGTTTTACGTAGGTAAGCATCTTTTTTATGTGTATCTCTTTTAAAAAATCTCAAATTTTCAAGTGTAGAAATATACGACCACCGCATGTGAGAAAAAAGATGTTCATATCATTTTTACGCATAAAAAATAATTAGAAATTTATTTATCGTTCTGCAGGTGCTACTGTTGCTGCGTTAGGACCCGTAGTAGCCCCTGTACTCAGATCTATGACCTCCAAACTTGTAGACGTAGAAGAACGAGGTACGTTTAAAAATATTTGTCGCATCCCGGTAAAAATTTTTTATATATATAACAATATAAAATTATATAGAAATATATAAGATTATACACATATAATCGCAAAATCATATATAAAATATGTCCATATATATAATTAGATAGGTGCTTTTCATATGTATGTAATTATATAAAAATATAAATTTATATATATATATATATATTTATATATGTATATATATATATATATATATATATATATATATATGTATATATATATAATAAATATTTTTCATATATATAAATATATATGTTTCATATATAATTTGACATAATTGAACCCTTATAATTTATATATAAATTTATATAATTATGTATAAAAATAGACATATTTCACATATAATTTTACAGGTGTTTATACAATCATTTGTATGTAATTTTTTCTCGAAATTCGAATCCGTCAAATATTGATTTGGATTTCACATTGTTATTTCTGTACAATTTCTTTTCAGAGCCGTTATAAAAAAAATAATAATTGTATCAATTTTTAGGAAAAGTATTTGCGATGCTCTCCGTTTGCGATAATGCGGTCCCGCTATTCAGCGGTGTTTTATATTCTCAATTGTACAATGCAACTATAAAGACTGCACCAAGTTCTTTCTATTGGTTGACGTTTGCCACGCAGATCACTGTGCTTCTGCTTATTATGTAAGTGAATTTTAATTTTACTAATGCATTTGAGACAATTTTGTACAACATTATTTTTCAATTAAATTAAATAAATTTAATTCATTAAATTAAATAAATTTAATTTATTAGATTAAATAAATTTAATGAATAAAATTTATGTTATTAAATTAATTAATAAATTAATTTAATTTAATTAATAATTAAATTTAATAAAATTTAAAAAAATTTTAACTTAGAACATCACATTGTTTCGAATTCAAACAATCTAATTGCCACGAGCTATTATTTTTCTCAGGTTGATTCAATTTTCATCGTGGTCTAAACATGCGACCGAACAACAAGATTACATTGATGACGAGGTTGTGGCTCCATCATTAGCTAATACTTCTGAAGCTAATTCTTCCAATAATATAACCGTATAACAATAAGCTAATTTCAGACTGCTCAAAGAAAAACAGTCTGATAAAATATATTAGAAATTGCCATTTATTTTATAATACATCAAAGATCAGAATTTGTTAGTATTGATATTTCATCCTATCATCTAAAGAATGTACAAAATGCATTTTACAAAACTCAGGGTTCTCTTTAATAGGTTTCCTTTAATTTTTTCAAATATGCTCGTCAGCTTTATATTTACATATCATTATATTTCAGGAAAATATCAAATTATCTTTTTAGGTCTTATAATAAAGTTGTAAGTTTTTTTATAAGCATGTATTTAAAAGATAGGAAGCTGAATTATTAATGCATTCGTAATCTCGTAAGCCTTGCAAACAATGTATTTAAAGAATAGAGCTCAATTATTTATATTCGTATACGATAAAACATTATAAAGCATATTACATAGAAACCAAATATTTAAGCAAGTTTATTAATTAATATTTTTATAAAATATAAACTAAATTACATAAATATATAGAATCTAATAATACGCAAATTAAAATGTTCATTTTTTACGAGAGAGAGAGAGAGAGAGAGAATATTAGGACATATTTTTATGTGTAATATACACTTATATATGTAATACAAAAAAACGTTTTATGTGCCTATAATGATGTTATACAAAAGCAATTCTAAATAAAAAATTTAATTTTAAAGAAATTTAATTTAAGAATCTGAAAATTAAAATTTCTAAAGTGTAAATGCGTCAATGTAATTGTTATGAATCTGAATGGTTATTTATATGTATAATAGTATTATATTATTAAGTTTTTGAAATTAAAGAATTAGATGTAATATATTATTACATTTTTATATTTTTTTCATTTATAATTAATTCCTGTTACTAGAATAATTGATAAGTATAAATGATGAAAAGTATATATATATTTTTTTATGATCCTTCACTCATCGAAAATGAAAAGGAAAATTGTATTTCATTACCTAATACGATAAAACATACCGAGAACATCCCTTTTTTCCTTAAATGTCAGTAATGTCATTTTACTCATAATTATATGAATCATGAAGTGAGATTAAAATGTGTCATCGTGATATTAATGAATAATTTGTACGTGATTAAAAATGACATGCAAAATATTCATCGTGATGACGCATATGTGCAAATTGAAAATATTAGCAAGATCACTCCGATCGTTTAAAGATCAAAGTCGACACAGTGGAAAAAAAACGTAATGTTTCTTACACATTATACCCAAATTTTATTTTGAAATTTTTAAATATAAAATAAAATATTGAACATAACGAATAATCTGATGAATAAATTGTATTATATTTCTGCTAAATTAAGATTCATTTATAATTATTTGGGAACAATTTTCGATATATTGTTGTACTTCTTCCTCCTTAAAACTCTCATAAAATATTTACCAAAATAATATTGACGTCGAAAAGGTCATTGTCATTATACAAACAGCAATAAAGCGGAATTGATTTTCGAAGTTGCAATTTACATTTACACAATGTTTAAGACGATTCTATGAAACCTGTGATATTCATTAGCATTCAACATGTGCGAAGAGCACAAGCATGTCAAGGCCTAATATCTAAAATCTATCAGAAACTATACAACTATTTGGAGTGCAAACAGAACTCTGATAAAACTCCTGATTTTCAAAAGTGCCAACTTTACAGTGGCTCTAATTACTGATGAAATTTTCTACTTCGATTACTGATTAACAAAGTGATCATAAAATTCGACTTTGATTATACAATAAAAAAAATGTTCGACTTTGATTTTCCAAATAATCAAATAATTTTCGATTTTATTTACTATGATTATCCATGGAGTTAAGTAATATTAATTTTTTTATTAATTTTTTACATATTCCTTTTGCATGACAAATCGTCCTCGGCAGTTTTCTCGATCTCGGAGTCTCATATTAATAACATACGTACAACAGGATCATTGCATGCATATTGGGGACGCGGAAGCGCATGTGGCTGCATATACTCGGGCGATCGTAAATTGTCGCAATAATAGATGTCACGTCGACATCGTGAATAAAGAGAGCGTGTAAAAGTACTTTACTTGTTGCGTGAGACTACGTGACGTGAATTGTTATCGTCGACTCGTCCTGTGTGGCTCTCCACCTCGAACAAGCATCCTCCTAGCATCGTAATCGAGAATTACATTTCGAGTCAAAAGTCGCTACCTTGAGAGAGAGAGAGAGAATAAATGCGCATACTTCGAGAGATAATGTCGATGTGCAATTCCGACGTTTGTTTCCGTTGCGAAATTATATGTAAAACTCGTCGACAATTTCTGCGGAGTCTTTATTAAATTGCGAATTTTCTTCCGACATTTATTCCCCTTGCGAAAATAAAAATTGTCGACAATAACCGTAGAATTTTTATTAAATTGCAAAAATGGTCATAAAACTATAACGATTTTTTTATTAAAGAAGTAATGAATTTTTTTCTCCATAATTTAGAGAGAAATATACTTATTCGTATATAGAAAAAATTACATTGAGATATAAATAATAAAACATTCTGGAGTTAAAATATATCTTCCTTTAATTAATCTCTGTAAATATCTTATATATTATATTTTGATAGAATTTTTTTCTTCTTATTTATATCCGAGAAAATGAATAAATAATTATAACAATTTACAGCAATGCATTTACAAATGCACATATGTTACAACAGGCTTACAACTTCTCTAATTTATAACAAAATAAATATAATCTACTTATTCATATCAACGATATTAATCAGAAACTAAACAATTAGTACAATTTAGAGTCTCGAGAGAATACGGCGAACAATTGCTCACGACAATTAATCACTAATTGTAGCTTTCTAACTGACATTTCTGGAAGAAAAAAATGCTCGCGTTACACAGGTCACTTGCTGTGTCATTGCGTAATTGATAGCCGTAATTGTAAACTGACACATTTACGAATCGAGGGAAAAAAAAAATTTCTCGGAGTCAGCTGTATCGGACGGTTCGAAGGGAGGAAGAAAGCTGAATCCGTAATTAGCGTCCCGTAGGTTGCACCGTAGTGGGCTTCGGGTAGACCCAGGGATTCGGTGCGTAAGCCGGCCTTTGAGGTATCGGGTAAACGGTAATGGCTCCGGATGCGACTGGACCGGGAGTCGGTATCGCGCCCGCGAGACCCATTAAAGCTGCCGTAACAAGAGTAACGATTTTTTTCAGCGAAACCTGAAAGCGAGAACACAACGTTCGATGATGAATTATGACATGCCTGACGTTTGACGGCGACTCGCGAAATTGTTCCGCGGGAAGAGAGAACTAAAGCCAATGAAAAAAATTTCCTGACTTCTTCAAGATTTTTACAAGACCAGAAAATTAATTTCTTCTCTTATTTTTTCCAAATATATAATTTGCGTATATCTATATGATAAGTCTATTAAATGTTAAATCATGAAATTTTTGAGATATTTTTGTCAACAATGAAAAGATTCGGAAATTAAAAAAAAAAAAAAAAAGTTTTAATCAATTAAACAATCTGCATTATGTACGATAATCAAAACAAACATGTTACTATAAACTATTTAAATAATCACCTTTTTTATTTACAATATATCAAATTTTTTAGTTTTATTTCCATCAAACACATCGAAATAAAATAACATGACGATGAAAATATAAATGAACGAACATGCTGCAGATGAATCGATTTTTAACAACACAGAAAATTAGCGTGCTGGGAGTCGAGGAAAAGTTTATATTTATTTAATAAAAAATTTCAAATTATTGAAACAAATGTAAAATAATGTGAAAAAATCCAGATAAATAGTAAAATTTCCTGACAAAATTCCAAATTTTTAAAATTCCCCGACAATGCCCGGTTTCCCAGATTTCCCTAACCACTAGACACCCTGATTAATTATTTTACAATTGAAAAGACGATTCCTAAAAAAATTTATTTTTAAATTAACAATATTGAAATAAGTAAACATATTTATTTAGAAATATAAATTGAAGAAAGATATTTTAAATGCAGAATATTTTATCGATCATTCCACGTTTACGCATGACATATTTTTACGTATTAAAAATTCTGAAGAATAATTGTTCTTTTTTCATTTATATATATGATAATTTAGTTTTCTAAAGTCTAGTCTGACTAGTTTTGCCTGTTTTTCCACTGGTTAGCATGATTAAGACACTATTTTTTTCAACGCTGTTTTCGTACTTTGTGCTATTGCGTGTGAGAAAATATCGGTACAAAAATTTGTTTCCCGCCAGACGTCTTAATGCGGTAAACTTTTACCGGTCTTGCGAATCGTCTAAATTACCACTCGCACCTAGATAAAAAGAGCGACGTGGATTAAGCACATTACTTTCTCTAGGACTATTCAAACTATGCAAACTGTCAGTCTGAGAAATATATAAGCCAAATAATATATATAATAAATGCAATATGCATACTCTGCGTCTCCGCTTTCAATTAAAATAACGTTGCAACTGCTATTGAGAGTAAAGATTTATTGCGATTCTATCAACTGTTACTGCAAATTCATCGTCATTAATTATAGTTATTGCTCGAAGTCTTTTCGTGGAATATGATAGATCTGTTTTCGTCAAAATATTTCGCGTGCAGTAAAAATATAAATGTGTAGGTGCGTGACATTTAAATTGTGCAGCAAAGTATATCGATCACATGCATATAATGAATGATAGATCTGTTTTGATCAAAATATTCCGTATACAGCATAAATGTGAGACATTTGGATTTGTGAGGCAAGGAATATCAATCAGAAATAATGTTACCTCAAACGCTTTGATTTTTGTATCGTTAGAGAACTCCATAAATAATTATTTCATTTTCTTGTTGACAAAAAGACAGATAAATAAATTCGAAAAAAAATTATTATTGCATACTGCGTCAATAAATCGCGATCATTATACAATAATAATATTAAAAAGCCCAGATTTTCGTGCGAGAATGCAAAATAATTCGATCAAAAATATAGTAATGTACAATAGATTTTTTGTTCGTATAATCCGATTATCGACAAGTCAATAAGTTTTCATGAGAAGAATGTACAGTTGCTCGTTTTCGAATGCAGAAATCGTCGGTGTGCAATTTAAGTAGAAATCAACCGCGTACCCAGAAAGAGAAAACCGAAAGATCTTATTTAATTCGCAACTTAGTTCGGCGGAAGCGTACGATCAATAATTGAGTTGGAGCAACTCGAATAATGTATCGTTTAGACTTTATTTATTCTCACTGTTACGATCGCCACCGTGATTTCCGCGTTCGCGCGTAAAATCCGCAATTTCGCACGGCAATTTAATAACATCAATACATCGAGAAATCGCGAGATTGCAAATCAATAAATAATTTAAAATACTAGATATACTATGACACGTACTATACGAACATAATTTCTAAAAAAAAAAAATATATATATATATATATATTTAAAAAAATTTTAATATATTTAAAATTTATTGACAAATTTTTCACGTAATTTCGTTATTAATTTAAATTTATTAATAATATATTTTGCACACGCGACTTACGTGAATTTAATAAAATTAAAAATTTCTATATACTTATCAATATTTTAATTATATATGCGAGATTAGGACGACTAAAGAAAAACACTTCGCTTTTCAACGAAGAATTATTATACTATAGTCTTGTATAAATTGTTATTTAATGTCTTTTCTGCCTATTTTTAGCGAAGTTTTATCAAATAAGACTTATCGTAATATTCTCCGTATTGTTACCATGATATCGGAAATCTCGGATGTTCTTTAGCGATGCGATGCTCGAAACGAACAGTACGCATTTTTAAACGTTGGCAGACTTTTTATACTAGTGAGTTCTGAGAGGTGGATATTTAGGTCAAGATACGTGGGAAACGATACGACCCGCATAACCAAGGAAGTTTCTTGCCAAGGAACCGGGTAGATTTTCATTTTCATTCATGCCGGTTGCGAAATATATTCATTGCCAGTAAATATAAATTGTACAAGAAAGACAATTGACAAAATCATCCCATTTCTCAGTCTTCATTTCTGTAAGCGATGATGTTAGATTACGTAATTATGTACTTATTAATATATATTTTTAACATATTTAATTTAAATACAAGCAAATGGCACGATAAATGATTTTCACGAGTGACCTAAAAAAGAATCGACTTTTTATGTCGCTGAATAAATTGTGTAACTTGAGAAAGTGATGTTAAGGCTGTTGTGTATAAAATCGCGGTTTTTATTTTGCTGAATCTTCGTGATGTTATCCCTTAAAAGATATTTTTATACTATGTCGAGATAAAACTCTGCATTCTTAGAATTTAATTCTCCAAGGAGAATATTTTATGCCGAAAATTCTATAAATGTTCAGCAACAATTAAAGGATAAACAGTTTAAAGAATAAAATTTGTATGTTCTTATGATAATTCGATATTAACCATCTATTTAAAAATCCTTGACAAAAGTTTGGAACCAACCGTTATCAAATTTTTGTTATTTAATAAAATTAAAGTTAAATATTATATTTTAATTTAACAGAGAATTAAATTTTGTTTGAGAATATGTGTTATGTGCAGAGCAATCTCGCGTCGAGTATAAAATCGAAGAATATAAACCATAAGAATAACATATAAAATATAAAACCATTGACAGGAATTGTACTCTCTATTTTTTTAACAGAGGAAAAGGGAAGAATCATGATAGAAAAAAAGAAAATGTTATCTTTTAAATGTTGTGTATTTGTATTAATTAATTACCAGTGCTGATCTTACTTTTAAAGCCAACAAATCAATGTCGATTATTGATAAAATGTTAATACAATTGATAAATATTGTCAATTTTTGATTAATTAGGTCAAAATTGATCAAAAGTTATCAAAACCAAGTTTTTTTATTGGCCATTAATTATAGAGGAAATAAAAAATTGTGTGAGTTTAAGAAAAAAGAGAAGATCAATATAAAAAAAGGGAAAAAAGTAAACGAGAGAAAAAGTACAACCCCTGAAATTATAATAAAGACGGTAAGTTATGCCAATGTATTTGACATAAAAGAAGGTTTGACACCAATTGTTATGTAATACAGATTAATTCCAGATTTCGTTCTTTAGATGCGCTCGACAAAATAAAAAAGTAAATTAAATTTTTTTGCTGAGGCAAGAGCCACGTGACTCGGACACGAATCAATCTAGCTGTCACTTTTACACGCCCAAACACACAGAAAACGCGACTTAGTGGCGCAGCTTTTTATATACTCGTACGTATATATTATTACAAGATTCCGAGATGACCGGTTTCACTGAGAAACTAGAATAAAAGGAGATAAAAGATCAGCATTAAAATAGGACTAAAGTTGACGGGCCGGTGAAATCGACCACGTGGGTCGCTCAAGTGTACTTTCTGCGCGACCGTTTTATCTAGATACATAAATAAAATATTTCTCTGTCTGAGCTACTCGAAAGTACTCACTCTGCTTCCACGCGATATGAATTGTCACGCGGATCACGTGACATTACGGGAATAAAAATCTATTATTTGCATGTTCACGTGTTATGAATTCCAAGGATCGTGCTAGTTCGATTCTCATCGTACATATGTATGTATGTAATGGAATCTGGGGAAAGTGAAGGTCTTACATACTCGTACGTGATTGATTGTACGATTCATCACGAATTATTATTGATGTCTGTTATGTAAAACAATCCGAATCGATCAATAAAAATCTATTGGAAACATTTTATGAAATTATTAGTAGTATAACATCTATCTTTGTTGCATCGCACTAGGGATTAGATTTTTCAAGTGCTAGAATATGTCATAAACAAATATAAAAAAAAATATACATGAAAATACACTATTCGACGTGCATGTTAAATTGCATCCTTGAATATTACGTATATTTACGCCAACCTTGCACTTGCATGAATATTGACATTACGTTGCAACTTTATTGCAAAAATATTTGCACAAAAGAATCGTCGACCGTCACACTGCGAGCTATGATTACATTTTCCTTTTTTTTCCCCTCTTTTTTACTCGGGATTGAGTAACGTTTTTGTTCTCGCTGCTTCCGCGTGCACTATTACGACATGTAACTGGATTAACGAGCTGTAGCGAGCTTAAAATTCGTTCCTGCGTAAATGCCAACAATTGTCACTCTCGGATTCTCAAAAATGTGTACGAGACAAAAAAGCATAATGCAATCATGTAACACGTGTTCTAAACAAAGACGATACAACAGGTTTAATTTTTTCATCAATTTCTTTTGCAAACTTCTGCCGATTGAAACAGAGTGCAATTGTTGTTCGTTATTCAATTCAAAAATTTCATTCACTTCTTAATTATTGCAAGGTGTAAATTGTATTTATTTCATTATATTTATATAATTAAATAAATGGCAAATCTTATAATACTATAATTGATATAATATATAAATACTATTATATAAATCATATATTTTGTTTTTATTAATTATTTAATAACTGATAAAAAATTGCGAAGTTATGGTAATGTGTCTACCTCTGCATTAATTATTACGTATGTATTACGTCAAAAATTTATGTTATGTTAGGAATGGGCAAAAAAAGGAATTACATTAGATCTGTACTATCTAACACACTTTTATATTGACGTAATATGTTGACATTTAGGAAAATTACTTTGATAACCAGTAATTAAAATTAAATATTTTTTTATTATTTATTTAATCAGTAATTTAAAAAAATTTTTTTATTTGAGATTTTAGTATAACAAAGGATTAAGATTTTAAACTAAGAATATCTCTGCAACTCTCGATATCTTCCATCTAGAATCTTGATCTTTCTTTATATTTTCTATCAAAATTTCAATTATTAATAATTGAAATTTCTGTAGAAAACACAAAGAAAGATCAAGATTCTAGATGGAAGATATTACAAATTTCAGAAATATACGACGTTCGCGACAAACCCCAACGTAGAATTAAATATAATTGAATAATAATTCTAATAATTAACTATATAAATAATCAAAAGAAACATCTGTCTCATCAGAATAATCATATTCTAAATGATAAAATAATTGAAAAATGTTTAGATATGATTATCTTATTGTTAGTACTGACAATGCCCGGTTTCCGAGATTTCCCTGATCGTTAGACACCCTGATAATCGTTGAAAGGTGCTCGGGAAAATTCGGGACGCGCAAACTTCGAGGGGAGAAAAAAACGTACTCAGTGCCCGGGAGCGCACTTCGACGCGAGAAATCAAGCGTGTAAATGCCGACGCGAGTGCGCGCGTGCACGAGCGTTCACTTTCGCTTGGACACATCCACACACGCACGTGACAAGCAAGCAAGGAGGAGCTTGTGACTTGTGCACAGCAGCGGTAAACTCTATACCGACGGTTTTTCATCTTGTCAGTCAGCCTTCCTGCTTCCACGGGAGCGGGTCTCGCCACGGCCTCTCCTTTTTTCCCGCGCGCGTTTTCCGCTAACCGATCTCCTGCGTCGCGTCTGACGGAGGCGAGCTGTCAAACGCGCGCGCGCGCGCGTCCGCGAAAACGATGAAGTACCACCGCATAGAAACGAGCCGACTTCCGACGACGCTGATATGCGTCATCGTCGTCTCCCTCGGGATCGCGAGGGCGACCGAGCCCTTGCCCTCTGCCCTTTTAGGCGGCATCGGTAACGTCGCGAACACCGCAACCAATTTCCGTGAGTCTATCTGGATGTCAATCTCGAATATACTATATACCCGCGTCGCTGAGTTTAGCGAATGTTCTACAAATATTTACAAAGATGCTGGCAAATATTTTTCGAAACGAGGAAAAAATAGGGACAGAAATTTGAAATGCAAAATTGTTATAAAAAAAAGTGAATAACCACGCGAAGCTGCATCGAGATGCTATGAACAGGAGATTGTAGGCTAAACTATTTTCTAGAATTATATTTTCATCTACTGCTTGAAAAATTAATTTATGCCTATGCATATGTGTCCCTGTACGCTGTTTAATTTACAAAATATTTATTGGGAAAATATTATTAATATTCATCTTAATAAATGTTTGTGCAGTAAATATATAAATAATTAATATTGTATGATTAAATAGCGGAATTGAATATGCAATTATACATATAATGCATTTCTGCGCACGAATTATTCTCACACAATGTGAATGAGATATAATTGAAAAAATTATTGTAGCTGTTACAGCATAAAATTTAAAGAAAAACCAAATAATTTAATATTTTTAATTAATGTAATCCGAATCGAATGCGCGGGATGTATATAACTTCTTACTTTAAAATATTAAACTGTTGTGTTTTATTAAAATATCACATTTTAGCTTGTTCGATAATCCATCGAAAAAGCGATTAATTCAAAATTGTATTTCGGTTATAAATAAATGTTAATATTATTTTGCACGCATATATTTTGCAATCAATAATATGCAATCTGAGCAATCACAAAGAATAAACTTTAAACAAGTTGTTTTAGAATTGAAGCTTAAACACAACAGGAATAAATGTCGATGCTCGAATATCGAGGCGCAGTATCGTCGATTAAATGAAAGTGAAAACATAAATACAGTGATACAACGGTATCAATTAAGGATGAGGCGATGGATGGAAAGTTAAAGTACGAGGAGATGTTAGATAACGATATTATAGAGAGCTCCGTCGATATTATAGAAGAAGCCTTTCCTCGCCAAAGCAACGGCGAGATTGAAAGTATTTGATTAATAGAGATAAAGAGTTAGCCTTTAAGTCAGCCGGTAACCCATTTAAATAACTTGTGAATCGTAGGATGACGTAACTCACGCGAGAGTTTCCCAAACACGGCATTTAACTTGCGGCTATGGCTTGCATAAATAATTAGCATAAATGCGAAATTTATTGTATCCACTGGTGACCCAAATTTTTAATCAAATGCAAAATCAGCTGTAGATTATTATTCCAATTTGAACGACCTTAGATAATAATTTATGCGCGTCGCACGCAAAATGATAAATGTTACATACACCGATGTATTTTTATAAAAATGCAAATTAACCAGGGGCAGGAGGATAGAAATTGAGGACATTCGTAAAAATATGTACGATATATTGACACACATGGGGCATTCGAAATGACATTCCGATATATTATGCAACTATCTAAAAAAAAAAAAAAAAAAATAGTCGTAGAGTTCAGACATAGATAAACTCCAATATTTCTAAAATTATCGAGAGGTCGTAAATTATATCAATAAGATATGTTTTAATAGACAGAGTGTCCCATAAATGGTGCGCACTTCGTAAATATTTATCATTAATTTACATATGTGATTACTAGCGCTTTTTTAATTACATTTTTTCAATAAAAAATTAACTGGTATACAAAGATTTTATTTATATAATCCATTAAATTTCCATTTTATTTATATATCCATTAAAAACTGCAAACTTTCCTCTTTTCAACACAATTTTTGTTTTCTCAATAATTGCGCGTGCATTAAAAAATTACAGCTGATAAGTTTCAGCAATTTCCTATGGGACACCCTGTATATTAAAATGTTTGTCATATCAAAAATGTGAATATATTTAATGCAAACTTATTAAACGCGAAAAATCTATCTTTGAAAATAGAATTAATCTAAATTATTATTAAATTTAATTTAAGCTCGATTTATTAAATTCAAAATTGAAAAAAAACTTTTCAAGAAAAAAACGGCTTTCAATCAAATGAAATTAATATTCAGCGATACAATACCAGATAAAGATTATCTATAAGTCCAAAGGCTAGTTTTTTTTTATTATCGGAAAGCATTTATACCGCGAATAGCTATAAAAAAAAAAATATGCATTCGCACGTTTGTTCGTGGGAGCGACGATGATTCAGACAAAGATGCATTCGTTGTGCAGCGGACTGGTAATTGTATTAAAGAGAATTTAACGTACCTACATTGAATGATAATATCTGTTAATGGAATGAGATTTCCATGTTATGTAGAAAATCGATCGACGCGAGACGCTTTTTGCTCGCCAACGTCGGCATTAGTCACATCTGTTATTTACGGATACGACTATTTTGCATATTGACGTGAGTTGAACGCTTAATAACAGGAATTATGCTCTTACACGATTTTCATTCGCGACATTACGTAAAAAAAAAGTTTAATACAAAGCGACCAATTTTCTCTTGATCCATAGATTAAAAGGCTAAATGTTTATGATTGTCAACAACATCACAATCTTCTATGTATATATACACACTGAAAAATACATACCTTATACAAGTAAATATTATACCTGTTTTCAAGTATTTCATAAGTTCATATATATTCACAAAGATATACATATAATAAGTTCATCATAAGCATCAAATTTATTCCAAATGTGTTCTTAATGTTAATAAGTTTGATACTTCAATAAAAAATATTAAATTAATCAAATCTATGACTGTTCTTTGATAAAATTTTAGAATATTCTTGAAAAAAAATAATTTCTTTTTTTGAATATATTGAGTATTTCTAAAATTTGTGAGATGAGTTTATTTTAAGTGTATTAAGAAGAAAATATTCTTTGTTAAAACTAATTGTTACTTATAAAATAAGAGAAGTATAATAAATAATTATTTTTCTTAGCAATAGAATAATGTTTTTCTGTGTGTACCTGTACATCATTATGTAAATGCATTGAAAATAAATGTGACGTGTAATTTTTCGTAAAACGCTAAATAAATCGAAGCGTAACGTGTAACAAATCAATCATAACCGGTAGCATAAACTCGGCGAAAGCGATATGTCTATTTTTATATTTCAATACTTTATTAAATTTTTTTCTCGCGCGACACGTTAACTCTGTAAGTTACAGTAAACGCAAACGTTGAGAAAGTTTCTTACAACTTGCTTACAACAAAACGAAATTCTTGCACCACTCTCGAAGCTCAATTAATCATTTAATTACTGCGGGAAAACCGCCGAATGCATTTAACCCTTTTCGATCAGGAAGTCGAGCCGCGTGTTGAAGTTTCTGTGTTTCATACAACAAAACTCATGCTTGAATTCGATTAATCATTTAATTACTATGCGGACCTTTACTGTAACAGGAAACTGCTCGATATACGCATTCAATTAGTTCTCGAATAGAAGATTCTCGAATTCACGATAGCCGATGTTCACCGCGCCGATAAACAGTTTAATTAAACGTGTGCGAATAAAGGTGCTTTGAGAATTGATTGCTAAATGCAACGTGCAGTATGGATTTAATGAACATCTTCTCTATTGTATGAGATAAGCATTAATATCAAAGCGTTTGTAAAATGCAGTTTATCTTTGGACGTAGAAAAAACAGCGAGAAAAAAAATAAAATCGTAAGAAAAATAAAAAAAATATTTCACGCACTAACGAAGAATACTTTTATAATTAAATATATAGCACACATCTTCAAATCATGTTGCTTCAGAGATGATAAATGTTAAAGGGAGAAACAAATGTATTTTGCAATTGTATAAAACAATTTAATTTCAATTACAAAGGAAATTATCATAATTGAAATTATTATAACATAAGTAATGGCGTGAATAAAGTAATTACTCAAAAAACTTGTGTAATGATTGATCTTTTTTTTTGAACACAATTGCAAAAATAACTTTAATAATTGCAAATAATGGGTATGAAAATCACAAATATTTGAAGACATTTATGATGCTGCAAAAATTGGTCTATTATTTATTGAAGAAAATAGATTTTAAAGTAATTTTTTATATTTATTATACTTGAACAAATAAATGTTATAAAAGTGAAGTTTAGACAGAATGGGGTTTTTTCTTTAAAAAAAATTCAATTTGTGAAAGTGAATTGTTAATTATGTCACTGTAAAACGATCCTATTGTTTTGATAACAATATTGGATATGTGTCAACCAAAGAATATGTTGCGTAGATGAGAAAGCACACGTGGTTCAAGGAGCCAAGAAAACATTTTTATTGAACTCGATATACGTCCGAATATTTGGTACAAGACGAAATTAATTTGCAGAGCAAATACCAACAATATTTAAACTGCAATACGACGAAAAGTTTCGAGTACAAGTTGTCAAAATTAGTCAATAATCAATAAAAAAAAAGTCAATAATCATTATGCCGGCAACTCCAGCGGAATTTGAGGAAAATACGATGACAAGAAATGCCTCCAAGTATGCGGCAAAAAATATTATATGTATATCCGCACCTTGCAGTGTATGTATAAACAAATAGAAATATAAAAAATAGAATGAGAAAAGTAAATGTAATCTTGATATTGAAATATAATGAAATATCAGAAATAACAAACATAAAATATAGAAGAAAAAATCTTTGAAATTTAATTCAAATATCCACCACATCCTAGTTATCGTTTTATAAAAGAAATTGTAAGCACGGAATACATGTAAAAACGTATGCAAGCAAATAGCTATATCAGTAAAAACATCCCAGTCATAAAAATATTTGAAGAAATAAAAAGCCAATAGATAAACTGTTAACGAGAAAACAGAATATGATCAAATTCCAATGTCCAAATTAATTATTATCAAATTCTTCCATGTCACTGATTTGTGAGCAATTTGCGAAAAAAATTTCACCTATGCTAAATAATTTAAATGAGTTAATAGCATTTTCCAATAAGTGTTTCAAATAAAAAAAAATTAATGTTATATTAAGAAACAATTACTATATCGCTATTGAAAATTATATACATATTTAAACGTTAATTAAATAATTATTGCACAAACTTTTGATACCGTTTAATATCGTTTTAATTTTTGACTAATCGGTTGTGGTTTGCAAGGGTACCCCCTTGACATGTAATCGTTTGTTACAGTAACGGGAATCGTGCAACGGCAAAAAGAACTATTGCATCGCGTTACGGACACTGCCGCGGAATACAGTACGTTTTCGCAGAGAATGCAATGATAATTTAAAGGCTTACGCACTTTACTTCACGCTTAAATGCGGGCTTCAGCGCAGCTTCCCCCCAACAAAAATAAAGAAATATAAAAAAAAAACAGCTTAAACTTTGCGAGATTTTATTCGAAAATCTTGACAAATCTCTCGTATGAAATGCTTTCATATATCTTTAATGTAACAGATAAAAATTTTATTATTTGTATAAATTACACAGATTTACCCATACAGCACAAAATAATTTTAAAATCTTTTAAAAATATTTCTTAAAATATCAAATAATTCTCGAAAATATTTTTCAAATGTTTCTACGACTGCTTTTTCATGTTTAAAACATATTTTTGAATATAGATTTAAACTAATATTTTAAAAATATGTATCAAATATTTAAGAAAATATTATCTGAGCAATGAAAAAGAACATTTTTAAAAATATTTTTTAAAGTTTCTAAAAATACTTTAAAAAATGTTATCACAAAAAATTTTTAAATCATTTAAAAATATTCCTAAAATTATTTTAAAATTTTTTTATGCAATATTTTATAGAAATATTTTTTTAAAACATTCATAATATTTTGTACTGTATGAGTAATTAAGAAGAAATTTATTTTTAACTATTATTTTTATTTTTACATTCTTCTAAAAAAAAAAATTAATTTCTTAAATTTAGAATACTTAATAATTATTCAGATTCTTGATGCTTGATCTCTCCGAAATTATATAATGATTATAACGTACACACGTTTTCGTGCGCATGCTGTTACATTCCACGTTTTAACCGTTGTAAATATCTTGCATTATCAAAATCCGTCATATATTATTTAACGCGAGGATAGAAAAGCAATGCATGTCAAAAGATTAGCGACCAATTGCACTTCCACGGAACACGTTTGGAGAATGTAATTTGCATTAACGTAAATTCCGAGCGTATGCGCGTGGATAGAGAGACGAGAGTTTCCCTCTCAGAGATGCAAATATACGTACGTCTGGTGGAGAAATACCGTAATACCGCGTAATTCGATCTGTAATAACGCGGTATGGCAAGGGGCATTTGATTGAGAAGAGATTGCATTTCTCTATATATCGCGGAACGATACGCTTTTGTAATTGCATTATTCGCGACCTAGATTGCTTCTTAAATCCTTTTAAAATGAATGGTATCGAGTCGCTTCATTTACATTCGCCGTCGAATAATGAACGAATTGAACGTTCTATTTGTCTACTTCTCGGTAAGAATCGCCAACAAACTTTCGCGGGAAAATGCAAGGAAAGGCGCAAGGTCTCGAAGAAAAGACTCTCACGATATAAATACTTCCATAATTTCAATTTGCAAATATAATTATAATCAGGATAAATATTCAATTTACCGATCACGCCTGAGAAATTGTATATGTATAGTATATACATGTTCAAACAATTAATAACTTATAATACCTTTCTCATAATAATTTAACAGAGAAAACTGGAACATTGAGGCTACAACAGTATAATAAATACTTCAATGAACCCGCGGAATAAATTATTAATGTATCGATGCATCGCTGTAATGTATATTTAAATATAAATGGTAAATGTCAAAGACCGACAATATTATTACATAAAAAAAATGATCACAATGCTGATGAATTAACGATTCCGCTATGTTATGCATGAGACTACTTTCGCGCTTCTATCTTCGATCTTTTAAGGCTGAGAAACCTGTGTGTTCTTATCAAATTTTCTTGTACAATTAAGACATTTTCACATAATTTTCTTTTCTTTACGTACACATATTATATTATAGAAATTAAATTATATAATTCTGAAACATTCTATATAATAAATTAAATAACATGCATTTTCTTAATAATAATTTAGAAATCTGTATATATTTGTATTACTCCTCGAGTTTATAATTGCATACTTATTGATTTCATATAAATGCAATTTTATTGCATTTAATGTATGGCAATATACTTTTGCAATCTTATAGAAAGCACCAATATAAAAAATAATTTTTTAATTATTTTTCATGACAAAAAAATTGAATAAACAATTTATATTTTAAGAATGTAATAATTTTCAGTCAATGAAAATCGTTAAAGTTGAAAAGAGTTTTATGAATATACGTAACTCGCATCGTTATATAAAGTTCCATAAAATTTGTCTTCTATTCATATATACATACACAGTGCGTAGAGAGTATAATTTGTCTTCTACTATTCTCGACGCGAAATTAAACAAAGTTCGCCTTTTCACGAGTATACAATTTTGCGATATGTATATAAACAATAAAACAGAGATTGACATAACACACAGGAAACTCTCGGCACTGAAAGAGTTAATGCCTGAGCAGCGGCAATAACAAGCAGGCGCAGTAAATAAGATAAACGAGAATGCAAGCGAGACAAAAGACAGAGAGAGAAAGTTTTTCGTATTCTAATTGTAGTAACTAACGCAGTGGAGAGACCGAGAAATTTATTAATCAACGCCACCAGGATGACGACAGGAGTCAGTAAGTATCAAAAAGTATATCACGGTGTCCAGCAGACTCAATAAAATTCCCCGACTTTTTCAGATTTTCCAAGATCAGAAATTTATTTTTTCTCTAATTTTTTAGTATTATTTTTTCCAAATATATAATTTGCGTATATCTATATGATAAATCAATTAAATGTTAAATTATGAAATCCTTGAGATATTTTTGTCAATAATGAAAAGGTTCGGAAATTAAAAAAACAAAAATTTTAATCAATTATACAATCTGCATTGTGTACGATAACGGAAACACTATATGTCCCTATAAACTATTTAAATAATCACCTTTTTTATTTATAGTATATCAAATTTTTTAGTTTTATTTCTATCAAACATACTGAAATAAAATAACACAACGATGAAAATACAAATTAACGAACACGCTACAGATAAATCAATTTTTAACACAGAAAATTAGCGTGCTGGTAGTCAAGAAAAAGTTTATATTTATGTAATATAAAATTCCAAATTATTAAGACAAATGAAGAATAATGTAAATAAAAATCCAGATAAATAGTAAAATTTCCTGACAATTCCAGATTTACAAAATTCCCTGACAATGCCCGGTTTTTCCTGATTGCTAGACACCCTGTACACTTCAAGTATATTTAAGTACACCTAAGTACTTAAATACGTAAGTACACTCAGTTTATGCTAATCATCCGAATTGCACGAATCGCAGTCGACAGCGCTGCGTCGAAGGGTCTCGAATTCAAGCTGAGAAGATTCCTGGAGAAATTCCGCGCCCGAATGCGCAACGGCATCCCGGAGTTGGGTATACCTCCGCTCGAGCCGTTCACGCTCGACGAGATCGACATCGATACGGATAATCCGGAAATAGGAAAGTAAGTCGATGGGATTGATACACGGGGGAGGGAGACATTGGATTCCAGAGATTATCGAGAATCACCGGTGAACAAATGGATATTGCGCGATTTTAGAGAGGAAGCGTTTGCAAAAACTGTCAGAAATAAAATCGATTTCCGGGAAAAAATTTTTTATATATAATCATATGAATTTATATAGAAATTATAAGGGTTCATATATAATCATGTCAAATTATATACAAAAGAAATACTTATTTATTATATATGTATACATTTTTATAATTATATGTATATAAAAATCACTTTTATCTAATTATGTATGGAGGCATATTTTATGTATCATTTTGCGATTATATGTTTAATTTATATTTTTATATCATTTCATATTGTTTTATATAAAAAAGTTTTTCCCGGGTTTGAAGGTATTTTTGGGGAGACGAGAAAAGCAAGAAAAAATTCTATATTTTCAGACATCATGTATTTGTTCTATAAAATGTATTCTTAATAGATTTATTTATTTATATGTGTGGAAAAATGAGAATACGAGGGCCTCCTTCCCTGCCTTGAAAAAATTAACTTAATTCAATCCATGTCCAAAGGGCGAAATTTTATTTTAAAATGGTAATATTTAACATTTCATTTTTCTACACATAAATAAATAAATCTGTTAAGAGTAATTATATAGAAAATTACATGTAATTCCTTTAATAAATAATAATTATTTTGATATTTATTGGTCAGAAAATGATTAATGCATTGAACAAAAATTTGTTTTGATTAAACTTTTCAAATATTATTTCATTAATTAAATATATAAAAATATTTGAATTAAAAATATAACATATTAAATGTAACAAAACGTATATATTATATTTAAATACTAATATGTACAAAATAGTAATTTAATTGAAAGATTTAGTCAAGTTAACAAATTTTTCCTGTTTATCGTAAAATGATGAGTTTTCAAATAGAGAACCAAAATTATCGTGCCAACAATTTTACTTCTGATATTAAGAAGTATTTTCTATTTGATATATGAGCTTTATTTCTCTCTCCTCTTCGCTATTCACAAAAGATACCGAAAACGTTGCGTGTTTGAAATGTGTTAATAGCTTCGGCAAACAAGAAAACGCTTCGTAAAGTATGTCATCGTAAATCTGTTCGCCAGAGTGAATCTAGTGATCGAAAATCTGGAATTGAGGAAACTATCGACTTTTCTGATCGACCGTGCCAAATTGTCGCTGATCGGCCCTACGATCTCCGTCAACATTTCCATTCCCGAGATCCTGGCGACCGGTTATTACAACATATCCGGCATTTTGGGCGACATGTATCCCCTACGAGGCGCAGGTCCCTTCGAAACAACCGTACGAGATTTCCGTGTGTATGTAAACACCGTGCTGGGCTACGCCAGAGGAATGTACATGAAGAGATTCGACCTCGACTTTTCATTGCGTGCCATCGAGATATATCTGGAGAACTTTATGGGCGGCGAGAAGATCGGGCAAATTATGAGCAAGGTAAGATGTTGCGATGATTAAAGAAGCTCTTTGAAAGATTAAATATTATTTCAACCTCGTATAATTTAATTTTTAAATATTACATAAATATTTTAAATTATGCACAGTTGAAAAATTTCTGTTAAAAATAGATATCACATGTCTCAAACGGTCCGCAGAAATTTTTGTGTTAATTTAACATAATATGGATATATTAAATGGAGACACAAATATTCTGGTAATATTTTAACACAAAATAAATGCAAAACTTCAAATAATTTAAAATTAATTTTGTTGTGAAATTAACAAACTTTTAATGTAAAAATTAACAAAAAATATGTTAATTTTAGATTTTATCATCCCTACTTAGATTATAAAATAATAAATCAACACTTTTTCTGTAAATTTTAATAGATACATAAATCTTGTGATTAATACAACAGAACATATTTATTGTGTAAAGTGTAAAGTAAAAAATAGATGCACATTGTTATTTTTACATTGTTTTTCAGTTATTTTAATAATTTAACATTTCAATTCAATTAACAGAACAGTAATGTTAAATTAACACATAAATGTGTTAAATATTTAAGACAAAAGTTTTAACGGAGACCGTTTTTAACAAAAAAGCACAAATTTTTTTACTATGTATATATCATTAAAATTGATAAAGTAAAATTAAATTAGAATTACTGGAATATAATCATTTTTATTTTCCATAAATTGTTTGAGAATGTTCAGTCGATATAATTAATTATATATTATATAGTTTTATAATAATTATATACAATTTTATATAATTATGTAATATTTTCTTGATTTAAAAAAAATATCAGTCTATATAATTAGAGAACAAGATAATATGAATTGCCAGAATAAAATTTATATACGCATACCTAAAGATGATAAAATCGCGTCTTGAGAATTAAAAAGTTTTATTTTACGATATTCTTCGTAATATCAATGTAATATAAAGACGATTCCATGCGCGATCCTGATAACATTCGAAGGTTCATATTCGAGCGTATTGCATTTTTGTGCACAGTGCATTTTACGACCGGTTGCCCTTTTTTTGCGATCGCTATAATATTTATCGGTGAGAAATTTTATTACAACCGTTTTCTCGATATCCGTCGCAATTTTTATTAGCGATACACGCGAGTGGCACGAGGCCACATTTGTCCTGTCATTGAAACTGAAAAATTCCAGGTCGTTCCCCGAATATTAATCGCTCAATTTATTCGTGTCTCTCACCTCGACGGCAACACAAAATTTCAAATGTGCAACTGTCAAGCTAACCACGTGTTGTCAATCGATTACTTCCAAGTGAACGCAAATTAATTGTAGTTATAACCGGCAATAAAAAGTCAAGGTACATTTAATCACAAATGGCTGTAACGTTTAATTTTCCGTACACTAAAAAATTGTTAACTTGACTAAAAATCTTTCAACTAAATATTATTTTGTTAATTGAACATATAAAAATATTTAAATTAAAATATAATATTGTATATTAAAGCTAATAGAACGTATATTTGACTTAAATACTAATGTATGTTCAATTAACAAAATAGTAATTTAATTGAAAGGCTTAATCAAGTTAACAATTTATTTCAGTGTACACTTAATCATTTTTCATATATATTTTTGCGGATATCGAGCGGAATAAAAATTTCCGGAGGAGACTGGGAGGAGAAAAATCTTAAGTACGTGCCTCGATAAATCGATCGCATAAATCGATATGTTCACAGGTCTTCGAGGAGCTGACACCGGAAGCAATGGACATTATTAAACCGGATATACTGCCGCCGATTCAAGATTACGTAGCGGCTCACGTGAACGAGACGATCCATCATCTCAACATGAGGGATCTGTTTCGCGTTCTCCTGGGCGAATACGAATTCGGCGACATCACGCATTTATTGATACCCTGACAAAAAGATCCGCAAAAAGTGGTGAAAAAATATCGCCGAGTTATCGGGTCGCGCAACAATTACGAGCGCAATAATACGAGCTTAACGCGACTGACAATGCCCGAAGACTGTCTTCGTTCAAGGTATAAGAGGCTGAATAATCGCTACCGAATACGTCAAAGTCGATAGAATACTTCGGTGAAACAGAACAGAGTCCGATCGACTTTAAAAATCGGCTCTGTTATACGTAATTCGTGCATAACGACAAATGCTACATAGAAATGTCATGCAATAAACAATTTTTCGCACTCACCGACCGGTGCAATAGCGGAGTGTTAGCACATCGATCTGAAAACAAAACATTCAAAATTATGTATATACGTTATATATATAGGGAAATGCCTACTAATGTACGATAATGATTTTTCAAAAGTAATTAATATACATGATTTTTTTTAATTGAGTATATTATAAATTATATTTATTTTGCATACCTTATAGTTGCCCCGCTGTCGCCAGATGCCTCCTTCGGCCTCCTCCTCCTCGCTTGGTCTTTCATAGCACTCACGACACTCGCGAAAACGCGAATAATTACGATCGCCCGACACTTAACACGGCACTTCCGACGCGCGAAACTTGACGGCACTCCCGACGCGACACGTTAATTAATTGCATGCATATTTTACGTACAATAAAAAAAACTATAATCGCACGAAGCAACGTCCGTTCGACACTCGAGAATCTCGCGCACTTATCAGTAATGCTATCTGTAACAAATAAAAAATATTGTTGGATGAGTGAAGGAGATCAGAAATAAACACCTTTCTTTAGAGAAATGCACAAGAGTTTGTAATAAAAGACGAGAATTTTTTTAAACGAGAATTAAAAATAATCATTTTTTAAAGACAGAATTTTTACAATTTTTGTACATTTAACTATTTTTTAACGATATTCAAGATTCCAAAATTTATAAGAAAGAATGGATTATTCGAAACCAATTTAAAATTATTAGAAGAATATTAAATGACAATACGGAAAATCGAAGGTCGCACTGAAAATATTGCCATTGGAAAAATTAAACATGAGATTGTATGTAAAGAAAAGAAAGAAGAGAAATATTGACAACTAAGAGAAATTACGAAAGCTTTCAATTTAAATTTCAAAATAATCCATTTTCTTTTTTTAAAGAGGACAGAAAAAAATTAACCACATTTTAAACATTTCACCATTTAAATCATTTTAATTATTTAAAAATCATTTGACTATTTTAATGTTTTACTTAATTATTTAACTATTTTAATCATTTTAACCATTTTAATTATTTAAACTTTTTAAATCATTTAATTACCCATTAATCATATAAAAATACATTTTTTTAACTATTACTAAATCAAAATGTTCTCTTCTTCTTGTATATGCGAATTTAATAACTTCGTTGATTAATTGCAATTTTTTAGCATGAAATGTTTAAATATGTAATTCTAAAATTTTTACTTATATTACAAAATGAAATTATATACTAATTGCATTATTGCTGCTAATGCAATTATTCGCTGCACGAAGATAGATTGTTCAGAATTCCTATATCATCAGAAAACTTCCTTCGTTAATTAATTCATTAGTATAAGCCGAAATGGTGAGAAACCGAGCTGTCGATCGATACTATAAACCAAAAGAGCAAACTTTGGCCTTAACATAGCACTATCGGTCATTGCTAATTGGTTTACTTCATCATCGTATCACAATTAATACGCATTGACGTCAATAAAGGTATGTCGTTTAGTGTGTTTTAATAAAAGGACGTACACTCTGGAAAGAGGGAGAGAAAGTTCTCCGTAAAAATCAATATATCAAAACAATACGACAAATCGAAGTCGAAATGAAAATGTTATTGCTATTAAAAAAATTTTAAGTTAAACATACGATTGCTTGAAAAAGAAGTACAAATTAACAAATAAGAACTTATTCGTAAGGCTTTCAATTGGTATTTAAATTAATAATCTATTTTTAAAAAAGACAAAGTTTAACTATTTAAATATTTCGCTATTCAAACCATTTTAACTATTTAAATCATTTAAATTATTTTAATAAGACCACACAAAAATTTAACAGATTTTTATGTAATAATGCAACAAATTCAACAATAATTCAAGCAGCAATAATACAGTAAAACTGAATAAAAATTGAATGAACCAACTCAATCTGCACAATCATCTACTAAAGTGTAATATGGTGATTTTTCTATATCACAAAATTAAAAAAAAATTCAATAAACATACATAAATATGTATGTTTAAGTAATAGTATATTAGAAATATATTTAAATTGCACTATCTGGATACAAATCAAGGAAAGGGGCAGAATATTCCAGATATATACAATAATAATAAAAAAATTTAAACATTTTAAACATTTCATATTTAATTTTAATTATTTTAATCATTAATAAAAGACAGAATTCTAACTATAATTATGTATATTTCAGACTGTATGTAATTGTCAATGTAATGAATAAATTAAATGAAGTATTTTGAAGAGGCTTATGACTGTGACTGAAATTTGATAAATTAAAAAAAAAAAGGAAAAAGAAAGAGAAACAATAAAAGTTTTTGAAGTATATCAAATTGATTCATATTTTTAACTTTGAATAAACGCTGTACGTAGTCCAATTTATTTGTCGCGGCTTGTTAAATCGAATGTCAAACAGAATTTCAGATGTGTTCCATTATTTGTACTTTTCCTATGAGGATGAGCGTGAGTTTAACAGAACGTTTTTGTACGTCCCAAGGCAAACCACTCTACCACGTCGTAAAAATTAATTACTGACGAAATAATGATTCCGCGAATCTCTGTAAATGTTTCATATCAAAATTCACACATATTCGTCGCATATTCCATAACGTATATCCTGCGATAAAATCATAACATATGCAAGAAAAACAATGGTGAAAGAGGAAGCAATAACAGATTTACTGTTTCATTAAATGATTGATATATTATAATAATAATCAGATATATAGTCAAGCAATTTACGTCATAATGCCTATAGCATGATACATCATGTACGATTTATCATAGAATTAATCGTAACGCGTAGATAAACAAAATCGACATCGTGGGAAATGTTCAGAAAGTGAATATTTGATATCTGATAATAAGTGAATATTTGATAACAATGTGAACACATTTGTATTTACATCGCTACTGCACCAAATTTGCAGATTGATTACGATATTCGCGAACATCTAATAAACTCCCACGTTAGAATATTGAAGCAAATTATTCTTTATTATAGAATATAGCGCAATTCCCGAAATTATTCCAATACGCCTGATGCAATTTCGTGAAATGACATCTTAATTAATCGCACGAAGAAAATTGCATTCTCAAACTGAAACACGATAAAACATTTCATTATATCGTTCACAATCTTGTGCAAAGATTTTAGTTTGCTTGTTTGTGAATTTGCCAGTGCATTACAATCTGTTGATACATTTTGTACGTAAATTTTAAAAAATTACGAAGAATGAGAATTTATCATAAATGGAATAATAAGAATTGACCATAATTATAAGAATAAGAATTGAGAATGAGAAAAATTTATTAATTCAATAAAGCTACAAAAACATAAAAATATAAAACAAAATATAAATATATAAAAAATATATTTTTAAAATATATCGATCCGTATATAAAATGCAAATTTGTGCGCCTCATATGCATGAAAGAAAATATATGGAAAAGGAAACATTAAATTAAATGTTTACACTTGTAGTGAATTTACATACAAAAAGATAAATATAAAATATTCTACAAAAATAGGGAAAAATATTTGTAAAACCAACGAGTAGCAATCAGATCGATGATCTTTTGTAAATGAAACAGTAAATATATAAACACAAGTGAAATGCGGGAAATCGCTTGAGTGCACGTGTATGCAAATAAAATTGCAAGCTTTAAAATAAAACAAATCAGCTGTTTCGATGTATTAAGCGTAGTGCGGCATTAACAAAGATCTCCAAAATAAATATAAAAATAATAATATATATAAAATAAATATTTCCCTTACCATTCCGGCTATCTGCTATATCTGCGAAAGCAACAGTTGGTGGGGGAGATTCACGCGAGTCGACAGGCGCACAAAAGGCGCATATACGAGTGCAACGAGGAAAACCACGGACGGAACGAGCACCGATGACGGGGTTGAGCGGAAAGAGAGGAAGAGGGAGTCGGAAATCGGACGGACATGCGTAAGATCCGACAATATAGAAGCGATATTTCTCAGGAAGGCAGTCGCGTTTAAACGCCACTCGATGACGGACGCGCGAACAGTGTGCGAATAGTTTCGAGCACGTCTGGCATGTCGCAAAACTTTCCGTGATGTTGAACATGTCACGCGAGATGTATAAAAGTGTTAACAAATATGAAGAAAACTTCAATGTGAGGGTTAATCCTGAAAATTGCAACCAAAATTCGTCGTTATATCTGAAGAATTAAAAATGTTAAATGATATAATAAAACGTTAAAAAAAGGTAACAGTTTATACATACAATAAACTAATTATAGTTGCTTTCGTAGATGTAGGTAATCAGAATGGTGAAATTTGCATTTCTATTATTTTTTTATTATTTATCTCAGAGATCTTTATTGATCTCGTACTACACTTTAATATATTGAAAAGCAGCTGTTGATTTCTTTACCTGAAAGCTTGTCATTTTATAATATTTGTGCGTGTATGTATATTTGCACTCGATCGATTTTGTTATCTCACTTGCAATCTTACAATGCACAAATCTGCATTTTTTTACATATAAAATTGGAGGATATACGTTGAGGAATGTAGAATATGCGACAAATATGTGAGTCTCAATGTGAGATTTTTACATGCGAAATCATTATTTCGTCAATAATTAATTTAGTTGGTAAATATAAAATTTATATGTCCTATGATTTAATTCGATATAAAAGCCATAAAAATATGAATCCATTTAATTATCTTTATAAAGGTTTAAGAACTAATTTTTATAAAAAAAATTTCTGTTATTCGACAAAACTGAAATAATTAATATTATCAATTATATTTTTATTTAACGGACAATCAAATTTAATTCTACAAGATGTGTTATGCCGCGTCAAGAGTGATAAACTAAAGAATATGAACCATAAAATATTAACTATATGAAGAAAATAATCATTAAAAGAATGAAAATTATATGTTCTATGATAATTCAATAAGAATATGAATCATAAAAATAAATAAACCATAAGAAAATGAAGAATAAGAATGGACCACACAAATATAAAAAATTAACTATTACAAAGAAAATGAACCACTAAAGAATATAATTTGTATATATTTGTACATTGTTCTATGATAATTTGATATGTTACCTTGTTTCGAAATAAATACATTTAAGCTTTATTTATATAACAGCTTGACACAAATGTTATGTCAAAAAATCGCGTTAAGAGTGAGAAACCAAATAATATGGTCCATAAGATAATATAAACTACATTAATATGAACCATTGAAGAATAAAAGTTGTATGTCCTATCATAATTCGATATAAAACACATAAACCATATTTTAAAAAATAATCTTTAATGAAAAGGGGGCCAACTGTTATAAAGAAATTTTGCGTAATCCAACATAATTGAAATAATTAATATTATCAATTATATTTCAATTTAAAGAAAAATAAATTTAATTCAATATCTGTCAAAAACCCCCAGCAGAAAGAGTCTCTGCATATAATTTAAATATAAAATCTTAAAATAATTAGCTATGGTATCTCCTATATCATCATCATACTAGTATAAAATAAAAAAAAACTAATAATTTCTCACTCACCGATACGTGCAATAGCGTAGTTGTAGTACACAGCCACATTGATCTGAAAATAAAATATTCAAATTATGTGTAAAAGTTTTTATTTATTAATATTATTTATTAAGTATTAATAAATAATTTTACAAAAATATTATAGTTTCTACAATTATCTATGTAAATTTTTTTATATATAAAAAAATATCAATTATAAATATTTTATTATAAATATTTAACGCGAAGATTTTAAAATAAAATTTCTAAAATATTTTACATACATAAAAATAGTATAAGTATATGATGCAAAATATGAAAATCATGGATTTAAAGTAATTTTACCAGTAGTGTAAATAATAAATTATATTTTTTATTTATTATGTTATTATTGTCATATTATGTAATAAATTATATATATATATATATATATATATATATATATATATACAACATACTCAATTTACTAATTTCCTACTGATAAAATTATTTGATCTATCTCCATAGAATTTATTTTGCATTATATATGTATATACTATTTTTGTGCATATAAAATATCTTGGAAATTTTATTTTAAAACTTTTGCTTCAAATATTTATAATTGAGAATTTATATATAAAAATTTTATGTAAATAATTATATAAGTTATTTTTATATAGTATTATTTATTAATAAATATCTAAACAGATAATATTAATAAATAATAATAATACTTAATATTATGTATATTAATACTTATATAAATCATATTTTATTTGCAAAGACGCCTACACGATGTCTTAATAAAAATAAGATTGAAATATTGCGACTGAGAATGACAGAAATGTTACATTACGTAGTAATAAGTCGAAAAAAACTGTATACATGCCTCTCTCTCTCTTTCTCTCTCCTTTATTTTTTCAGAGTATCTCACAGCAATATATTTGAAATTTAAAATCTCTGAAAATTTTTTTATTTTTTTTATTTTATATTTCTTAAATAGATATATGGAATAGATAATAGAAATATGAAATGTTCTCTGAAATATTTTTGTTTTTTTTATTTCATATTTTTTAAATAGTTAGAATAAATATATCTCCTATTTTATAATGTATAAATAATTTTAAAAATTTAATTTGTATTATCAAATAACACATATTTTTTAATTTAAATATTCTTATAGCAACAATGCTGTACATCTTAATTTTAAAATATTATTTTGATTACATATAATCTGCATCAATAAATTATTTTAGAAAACTCAATAAAAGGTATAATATATAATTATAGAAAGCGACACAGAACATTTTAACAGCCAGTGCACCGATAGCATAAATATTGTTAAATACACGAGTCAAATTTAAAACACTTTAAATAATTAGTTGTACATAAATGTACCGTACAAATTTGACAGAGACGTGAAAAAAGACAAATTAATCAAATTTTAGACATCGGCAAAACTTAATTAAAATTGATATGTGAAATTGATTGTTCGGAAAATAATGAACAAAATTAATTTGTTGTCAGTTCTAAAATTAATTTAACTTTTTATCATTTATCATAAGAAAAGCGTTAAATTTGTAAATTAATATTATATATTGATCAATAAATTTTTAAACATTATTGTAAACATTGTTCATTATTTTATTTGCATTAATTTTTATTTCCTTATTTTAAATTAATATTAATTTTATTTTCTAATTCAGTTAAAATTACTTTTTTCACTTCTCTCTCTCTCTCATTAATATTTTCTTAAACTCATTATTAACAAAATAATTTCAATTCTAGCATTAATATTATAGCAAAAAATATACATAATTTTATAAATTTTATTTTTAATGTCAGAAATTTTTTTATATTTCTAAATTATGAATATGTAAACCGCAATATAATTTTTTATTATTTTCCTAAAAATAACAGTCAATCATTTTCCGAACAATGTAACATAAACAAAAAATAAACTTACATTGCGTTAAGTCGATTAACCTCTCTGCTTTAATATATCCGCTTTAATGTTCCACTGCTGCTCTGCTATAATCCCATATGGTTTGGCACTGATCACTGCACTGTTTTTCTTATTATTTATATTTGTAATAATTATTTATCGCATTTTACTACACACAGATGCACATCGAAACGAACGGACAATACGAAAAAATAAGATCACTCGCGAATAAATTTCGTGACATCGCAAAGTGAACGGAAAGTGTCATGGCAAAGTGACACTTGCGCGACATCACTCAGCGACACTCGGTACCACAATTTTCAAGCAACGGTCGCCACTCCTTCACAATTTTAATCGCCGATTTGAGAATCCTCGCGAAGCTCTATGACGAGCGAAAATCACGACGGAACGTCCTTCCTCCCTTCGATTACGTCCATCGATTCGCGATCCTCCGAAACTCCCGGGTCCCCGTCGACGCCCAGATGCTCTTCGAGAAGATTATTCGGTCCATCGCGTCGAAACACAACACTCCCGGATTTGCACTCCCGTTTATTTGCATTATTCGCGCACGAAATCGAGACGAAAATTGCGGGAGCTTGTTCACGCACGAATAAAACAGACGCATCACTGCTTTTATCAAGACTAATTATCAGAGGGCCTCATCGAACGATGATGACTTCCTCGCGATCCACTCAGGAGTCGCCGATATTCCAGAATTGGGCATTACACGATAGCAGCGTACGCGAAGACCGAGAACTCGACAACCGACAACCTACGTCCTGCACGTCTGGAACGAGACTGACTCGCACGCACGCGTCGCGGCCGTCGCGGGAGACTGATCCCAATAGCCAATCACGAGGCTCCGTACGTATGGAGTCTCGTGATTGGTGCGCCGTAGGGTACACCAATCTGTATATAAGAGCTGCGTTGAACGACAGACCGGACAGATGCTTCTTGATGTTCTGATGCGGTGGTCGGCGGACGACGCTACTTGATTAAATTGCATTATGAAGATTTTTCAAAATAAATAGATAATATACATTTATATATATAGCTATTATATTATTTCACAATGTATTTGAGTTTTTTATTTCATTACTTATTCGTATATAATTATATGATTATGTACGAATAACTAATGGAATAAGAATAGATAATGAAATAAAAATAGATAATATAGATAAATCATAAAATAAGAATAGATAATATACATTTAATTATATACATATAGCTATTATATTATTTCAAAACGTATTTGAGTTCTTATTTCATTATTTATTCGTATATAATTATGATTATATAAAGATTTTTAAAATTATATAGCCAATATACATTTAATTATACATACAGCTACTTTATTATTTCAAAATATACACACATGAATTTTTGAGTTTCTTATTTCGTTATTTATTCGTATATAATCATATGATTATATACGAATAAATAATTAATATGAAACTCAAATACGTTTTGAAATAATATAATAGCTATATGTATATTATCTATTCTTATTCTATTATTTATTCGTATATAATCATATAATTATATACGAATAATTAATGGAATAAAAATTCAAATACATTTTGAAATAATACAATAGCTATATGTATAAATATGTATATTATCTATTTATTTTTAAAAATCTTCATAATGCAATTTAATCAAGTAGCGTCGTCCGCCGACCATCGCATCAGAACATCAAGAAGCATCTGTCCGGTCTAGCGTTCAACGCAGCTCTTATATACAGATTGGCGGACCCTACGGCGCACCAATCACGAGGCTCCGTACGTATGGAGTCTCGTGATTGGTGCGCCGTAGGGTGCGCCAATCTGTATATAAGAGCTGCGTTGAACTCTAGACCGGACAGATGCTTCTTGATGTTCTAATGCGATGGTCGGCGACGACGTTACTTGATTAAATTGCATTATGAAGATATTTAAAAATAAATAGATAATATACATTTATATATATAGCTATTACATTATTTCAAAATGTATTTGAATTTTTTATTTCTATAATTATTCGTATATAATTATATGACTATATACGAATAAATAATGAAAGAATAGATAATATACATATAGCTATTATATTATTCAAAACGTATTTGAGTTTCATATAATTATTTATTTGTATATAATCATATGTGTGTGATTATATACGAATAAATAACAAAATAAGAAACTCAAAAATTCATGTGTGTATATTTTGAAGTAATAAAGTATCACGAGACTCCATACGTACGGAGCTTCGTGATTGGCTATTGGGATCAGTCTCCCGCGACGCGTAGCGTGCGAGTCAGTCTCGTTCTAGACGTGCAGAGTGTAGGTTGTCGGTCGTCGAGTTCTCGGTCTCCGTATACGTCGCGATCGTCGTGTAATGCCTAATTTTGGAATATCGGCGACTCATGAGTGCGTCGCGGGGAAGTCGCCGTCATCGTTCGATGAGGCCCTCGACCATTCCTTGAAGAAAGCAGTGATGCGTCGGTTTTATTCGTGTACGAACAAGCTCCCGCGATTTTCGTCTGGATTTCGTGTGCGAATAAACGGGAGTGCAAGTCCGGGAGTGTTGTGTTTCGACGCGATGGACCGAATAATCTTCTCGAAGAGCATCTGGGCGTCGACGGGGACCCGGGAGTTTCGGAGGATCGTGAATCGATGGACGTAATCGAAGGGAGGAAGGACGTTCCGTCGTGATTTTCGCTCGTCATAGAGCTTCGCGAGGATTCTCAAATCGGCGATTAAAATTGTGAAGGAGTGGCGACCATTGCTTGAGAATTGTGGTACCGAGTGCCGCTGAGTGATGTCGCGCAAGTGTCGCTTTGCCATGACACTTTCCGTTCACTTCGCGATGTCACGAAATTTATTCGCGAGTGATCTTATTTTTCTCGTATTGTCCGTTCGTTTCGATGTGCATCTGTGTGTAGTAAAATGCGATAAATAATTATTACAAATTTAATAATAAGAAAAACAGTGCAGTGATCAGTGCCAAACCATATGGGATTATAGCAGAGCAGCAGTGGAACATTAAAGCGGATATATTAAAGTAGAGAGGTTAATCGACTTAACGCAATGTAAGTTTATTTTTTTGTTTATGTTACATTGTTCGGAAAATGATTGACTGTTATTTTTAGGAAAATAATAAAAAATTATATTGCGGTTTACATATTCATAATTTAGAAATATAAAAAAATTTCTGACATTAAAAATAAAATTTATAAAATTATGTATATTTTTGCTATAATATTAATGCTAGAATTGAAATTATTTTGTTAATAATGAGTTTAAGAAAATATTAATGAGAGAGAGAGAGAAGTGAAAAAAGTAATTTTAACTGAATTAGAAAATAAAATTAATGTTAATTTAAAATAAGGAAATAAAAAATTAATGCAAATAAAATAATGAACAATGTTTACAATAATGTTTAAAAATTTATTGATCAATATATAATATTAATTTACAAATTTAACGTTTTCTTATGATAAATGATAAAAAGTTAAATTAATTTTAGAACTGACAACAAATTAATTTTGTTCATTATTTTCCGAACAATCAATTTCACATATCAATTTTAATTAAGTTTTGCCGATGTCTAAAATTTGATTAATTTGTCTTTTTTCACGTCTCTGTCAAATTTGTACGGTACATTTATGTACAACTAATTATTTAAAGTGTTTTAAATTTGACTCGTGTATTTAACAATATTTATGCTATCGGTGCACTGGCTGTTAAAATGTTCTGTGTCGCTTTCTATAATTATATATTATACCTTTTATTGAGTTTTCTAAAATAATTTATTGATGCAGATTATATGTAATCAAAATAATATTTTAAAATTAAGATGTACAGCATTGTGCTATAAGAATATTTAATTAAAAAATATATATGTGTTATTTGATAATACGAATTAAATTTTAAAATTATTTATACATTATAAAATAGGAGATATATTTATTCTAACTATTTAAAAAATATGAAATAAAAAAAACAAAAATATTTCAGAGAACATTTCATATTTCTATTATCTATTCCATATATCTATTTAAGAAATATAAAATAAAAAAAATAAAAAAATTTTCAGAGAATTTTAAATTTCAAATATATTGCTGTGAGATACTCTAAAAAAATAAAGGAGAGAGAAAGAGAGAGAGAGGCATGTATACAGTTTTCTTCACTAATTACTACGTAATGTAACATTTCTGCTATTCTCGTTTGCAATATTTCAATTTTATTTTTATTAAGACATTGTGTAGGCGTCTTTGCAAATAAAATATGATTTATATAAGTATTAATATACATAATATTAAGTATTAATATTATTTATTAATATTATAAAATGTGATTTTATATAAAATAAAATATGATTTATATAAGTATTAATATACATAATATTAAGTATTAATATTATTTATTAATATTATCTGTTTAGATATTTATTAATAAATAATACTGTATAAAAATAACTTATATAATTATTTACATAAAATTTTTATATATAAATTCTCAATTATAAATATTTTATTATAAATATTTGAAGCAAAAGTTTTAAAATAAATTTCCAAGATATTTTATATGCACAAAAATAGTATATACAGACGTGATTACGCGTAAGAACGATCGGATTAAGATTTGAGATCTGTCGATTTTGTGGATAACGTGTTACGTAAATTGCGAAGTCCAGTATGTCGATAAGCTTACACTTGATCCAATAAAACACTGTAGATTCACCTTTTCCAATAATAATACTCATTGTAACTAGTTCAATTTTCATTTGCCCTCGCTTTGTTAACCAGATATAACATTAAAGCTCTAAGAGTGATTAATCGTTAGCTCTATGCACAAAAAAACTACTGAAAGTTCTATTAATCAAACAATGTTTCTAAATTACTTGTAAAATGAAGATAATTAATATGACACTTCGATGAAAAATTGTTGCTTGAAAATTGACTTAATTAAATCTTTACGTACTGTAATTTTACGTTCCGAGCTTACAAAGAGGTCTTGTCTTCTCTATTTTAACATCAACCTTATTCGACTCGTAAAATGTCGTGTCTTATCTCTTATCTAGTTTATTTTAAAAATGTTTGCTGTGAAAATTTCTCTGAGTGCTTTTTTATACTGGACGAATTCATTATTTTCACGAATTGCTTAAGGCAATAGCAATATTCTGCTACGAGCTAGCTTATAATAATATATCTTTCTATTTTTGCAATAAATTATTATACAAGTTGCAATCATTTTTTTATCATTAATACCGACAAACATTTCATTGTACAAATGTAAATTCAACTAAATTTCTTACAGATAGAATTCAGGAAAATTTGCGAATTTTATAAATTTCCATCTTTTGACGTGACTGTTATTACGCTCCCTAATTATAATTGGATTTTAGTTGGGCAACCTAACGATTCTTAAGGATAACTAGATGAAACGAGCTTACTTCACGAAGAGGCATTTCAAAGTACAGTTTGCCATTAACAAATCTAGGGTCTCGTAGGCGTCAAGATTGATGAAGACTTGAAAGTTTAAATCAGTCATGTCTCGAAACCAGATTAACTCATTGCGAACGAGTGCTGACGACTTATATTACGTTTGTCTTCGCTTTTCGTTGACAAATAAGACGATATAAAATTATACAGATAATGCATATTCAACATTGTCTTAAGAAAAGACAGTTATTTTATTATTTAACTCAAGATGTAAAATATAAATATAAAATGTCACATAATTACCGTTTGCCCTTTACTATGCTCGAAATTTTCATCAAATTAAAAATAGCAAGTAATTTACTCAATATTAAAATTCTGAGTAAATATACAAAGCAATGTTAAATTAATTTTGTGGAAAGAGATCGTTATATAACATATAAATTTTTCTAAATTTAAGTGTATTCATGTAAAATAAGCGCAGATGCTAATTTTTAAATTATTTATAAGAGTATCCTGATATATTAAAATGCTA